AAGGGAATCTGCCAGTAGCCCTTGGTCAAATCCAGTGTGGTAAAAAACTGCGCGGTGCCCAATCGGTAACCTATAGGTGTCCTCACTGTCACGCCCGGGGACGTCTCAATGTGATGTACTATGAGATCCGTGCGACCTGGCAGAGGGGAGAACACATCATTAAATTGGTCTTGTAACCGGGCTATGTCCGCTTGCTGGGCTGCAGAGAGATGGGCGTCGGACGGGAGCCGGGTCGGATCGGTGAACTTTGGGACCTCTGGCCCGAGCTCCTCTCTCTCCGCTACAGCAGACACCAGGGACACGGACTCCACCTCCCTCCATGCTTTAAGGAGGTTGAGGTGGTAGATCTGTGTAGCTCCCCCTCTGTCAGATCGCACCACCTCGTAGTCGACGTCCACTACCCGCCGTGTGACCACAAAGGGCCCTTGCCACTTGGCCACAGCGCCTGCGCAACACTCCTGGCGGAGATGCTGCGCAACGGCCCTGCCTCGGGATATCGGGTTGCGTAATCCACCAGAACCAACACAAAGCGATACCCCAGTGCACTCCGGTGAAATGGCCCGATGAGGTCCATACCTAAGCGTTCGAACGGCAGTTCCATTAACAGCAGCGGACGCAGCAGCACTCTTGGGATGGCCGGCTGGTTCACCAGCTGGCACTGTGGGCAGGACGCGCACCACCAGCGCACATCCGCCCAGATGCGTGGCCAGTTAAATCAGGCCACTATCCGATCCAGAGTTTTGTCTCTTCCCATGTGGCCTGTCATCCGGTTATAGTGAGCCGCCTGGAAAACCATTTCCCGACGTTTTTTTGGTACCAACATTTGCGTATTTTCCTGCCCTGTCGCGACTCACTCGGTATAGCCTGTCCCTAATCAGTGAAAAGTGCGGTTATGCTATTGCGGTGTCGGGGCGCACCATTTGACCATCAATTCGCATCACTTGGTTGAAGGCAAAGCGTAGAGTATCATCACGAGACTGATCCAGTGGAAAATCTTCCATGGAGCGTAACTCGGGCACCGGCGGCATCTCCATAGGAGGCCCCGCCGGTTCCCCCTCCGCGTCGGACAACCTCACGTCACCCCCGAGCGCCGCACACATCCCGCATGTCCCTATCGGTCATGAACGCACCCCCGCGCACTGCCCCGCTAACTTAGGAAACCCCGACCAGTCTGTCCCCAAGATCAGGGGGTGCGTCAGGCGGGAGCTAACCACAACCCTTACTCTATGCTTTTTACCCCCAAACCTAATCTCTATCGGCACCACTGGGTAGTCGTGAATACCCCCACGCACACACTTAATACTCACCCGGGATGCCTCCACCAATGCCCCAGGTCGAACCAGCCTCTGATGGATCATAGACTGCGTGCAGCCCGAATCCACCATCGCCTGATGTGTACCCCCCTGGATCCTTACCGGAACGCAGTATGTCGCTCCTGGACCGGGGGAGGGTGCTGGAGGCCCGGCAACCAGGACCGTTTGGCCCACCTCCATTAGCGGGCACTCCCGCCGGTAGTGTCCGGGCTGCCCGCACCTCCAACCCTCCTGCCCTGGCAGTTGGAGTCCTCTGTAGGTCAGGGAGAGTGCCGGTCAGGCCAGGTGGATCAGTACCCCGTTGAGGGGCTAGGCAGGCTGCGGGGACCTCCTTCGTGGCGCGGGAACAGGCTGCTTCGATGCGGTCGGCCGACCGCCCTCCCCCTTCCCGCCGGGGTGAATCGCCAGGTGGTCCTCGGCGAGGGTGACGGTGGCTTCCAGCGCCGTCCGTTGGTACCGGAGGTGAAAACCTGATCACACCTGGAGAATCGAGATCATTTGGGACCCTTGACGGGACTTTCAACACCCCTGCTTCTCCCAATTAGGGGCCGGTGTGTAGGAGCCATTCGTAATATTTGTGTACAACATGGTATTGGGAGCCAATCTCAGGTTGGCCACAAATGTTTCTAATATGTATATGTTTTTCAGTTATATATATGTGTGCTCTTACATGAGGATGTGCAAGCGTTTCACATGTATTCATATGAGTAATCTCCTTTGCAACGAAGGCTGCGGTCCGTTTGTCAAAACCAGTCCAGTCCCCTGGAGGCTCAAACTTCCTTGAATTCTTCACCAGTGAACAAAGTAACTCAACTACGTTATTTACTGCGTTTGGTCAAAGAGATGCACACAAACTGAAGAACAATGGAGGACAGGCGGCTGCTGATGCTTTGCAGTTTAGAGCTTCAACTTGCCCCCCCACTGGTAACTTGTCAAAGGAGGGAGGACCTAGAGAGTGAGGATGGGGAATTTTGAGGCAATATGCCCAGAGTCTGAATGAGTCTGAATGACTTGGCCCACATTTTCCAAATTAGTGTAGGTCATGTGACTCAGACATCCTTTTTTATAGGCTAAAGCAGCGGTTCCCGATTTTGAAATCTGAAACTCTTTTGCAGCCCACCCAAACCTTTAATCACAACTCTGATCAAAACATAATGATTAAATGACCTTAAGAATTTAACCAAAATCAAACATCCGCGAGCAAAGGTCAATCTCGGGTGAGCAAAAGTTCGTCTCCGCGAGGTATTTGATCGCTTGTGAAACGTGAACTTCGTTGCTCGAAGGAGTTTTCTATGCGCTCGCTGTTCTTTTTGACAGTAAGGTGGAGACGGTGCTTTCTATGGGCCGCCGTTTGTAAAATGTTGCACATTCCAAAATCCTGCACAGTTTTTCCACATTTAGCATTATCATATGAACAAAAAAGCACGACAATATTCACATTTTCACTTTTTCAAACATTTAGAGAGCAATTCAGTACATTCATGCAATAACTTTTCCAAGGATGAGGTTTGGCAGTAACAAAGTTGTTAAATAATATAAATGTTAAATCAATATGTAAATCTAAATGTTAAATCTGAATGTAAATGGTAAATGTTAAATCTAAATCTAAATGTTAAATGTAAATGTTATATCTAAATGTGAAATCGAAATGTTATATCTAAATGTGAAATCGAAATGTAAATGTGAAATGTAAATGTTAAATGTTGAGTCTACATTTAGCTCTACATTTAACATTTAAGACTTGAACATTACAATAATTACGATAATTCACGCCGGATTATAAGGCACTGTCGTTTTTTGAGAAAATTAAAGCCTTTTAAGTGCGCCTTGGAGTGCGGAAAATGCGGTATATTTACTTTAATACTACAAGAGGGCGCCCCATTTGTTGAACAACGACAGGCGGACAAGAGCAGCCTTTTCGAGCGAGAGCCTTATCGTTTTATTAATCTGTCCGTTTAAATTGTTTGTGCTTCATCAACTAATGTTTCACATAACTAATGTGCCGCATCATAAATATGTTTATACTAATTTCAAACTTTTAAAGATTGAAAATTAAAAAACTATTTATTTATTGTAAATTACCTCCCGCGGCCCACCTGCAGTACCTTCGCGGCCCACCAGGGGGCCGCGGCCCACACTTTGGGAATCGCTGGGCTAAAGGAAAGTCAAGAAGCCATCCAGGGCAAGAGACTTATCTTGTGGCATAGTTCTCTCCTGTTCTCTTTTGTTTGTCCGTAAAAAGATTCATCCAATATGGGTGAAATATGTGTGCCAGTGTCACGGTTTGGGTTTATTTCCTGTTTTATTTTGAAGTTTCCTGCCTCTTGTGTCCCTGGTTTAGCTCCACTTTCTGTCTTGTAATTGTCTGCCGTGTCTCTGATTGTTTCCACCTGTGTCCAATCACCTGCACCTTCCCAGTGTATTTAAGCAATGTGTGTCTCCTGTTCCTGGATGAGTCATTGACTGTCTTTCCTGAAAAAACTGTTTGTGAGCTCCTGCTCCTTGTCTGCGTCTTGCCCCCAGGCATTTTGAGATTTTGATTTAAAAGTTTTCAACTCTGCATTTTAGTCCTGCTTCCAGCATTGTGACAGCCAGCTGCATTTATGAAAATATAACAACTTAACTTTTGTTGCTTTAAACTTGCAGCTGACCCAGCTCCAGGTGTACTTCATGAAATAGATTCACTGCTTTCATGTCACATATGTGGTCATACAGTGATGGTCACTTCCAGACAATGAACAATTAAAGAAATTCCCCTTTACCGGGTTGTTGTACCCATTGTGAAAGGCGTCGAAAGTGTGGCTCAGTCCCGTATTTCTCATTGTGCCTCTTTTCCCCTTGGCCAAATTATAACTCCTATGTGTGCATTCTCTCATTTATCAAGTCATTATCACTGGATCCCTGCCAGTTAATGAACGTTGCTCTCCAACCTCTGGAACCGATTTTTTGTAACTTGAAACGTTTATCGGTTTCTGAGTTGGCACTGTGACGTGGTGATCGTTTGGGGGGTCCCGGAATGATGAGGAGACGCCAGATGGTTTCGGTAATCAACTTGTATTTAATATTTTTAACACAGTGTATATCCATGTTAAACATAACCTGTTGAACATAACCTGTCTACAGTAGTCCTACTGTAGAGCATCCAGGAGGCATATGTGAAACATTAAATATTTATATTTGAATATATTCAATGTTATATTTAAATATGAATATGAGATATGTGCACCTGCTGCATATTTTATATGCAGCAGGCGCATATATGTATAAAAAAAATATAAAATAAGACAACAGCATATATATAATGGGTTCATGCATACATTCATTTGCAAATGCTCTACATCAGCATATTTCTTACATGGGGTTTCAATGCTATGTACGGTCCGAAAAAGTCCAAATTTAATTGAATAATTTCACTCTTATGTAAATATACATACGATTTTGGTCAATTGGTAAATTAATTGGATGTCTAATTAATTGGGTAATAATGTTGGCACCTGAAGGTCAAGGGCACAGCCAAGTATAGGACCAACATGCACCGGGGTGAGACATTTTACCAGAATAGGAGAGCAACGTAGAAGAGGCAGTCAAGTTATGTTATGTTTATGTGTTAGCGAAACAAATAAGAAACAAACAGAAAGCCGGCTCGGATAATCCGCTCTCTTGCTGCGTAAAAGAAACAAACACCAGTGGCCCTTTGACACAATTGTTTATTGATCCCAAGGACAAATGGCCACTACAATCACCTTCATCATATAACAACAAGGTCGAGACACTGTAAAAATTATTACACACACACACACATCACATCACCAGGCACTCACCCATATGCACCCTTACATCAACACCCACATGGGCCCCGTGCCTCACTGTCCAAGGGCAGATCCACACATACAAACACACCCAGTGTTTGCCTCAAAGGACAATCAAACAAACAGGAAATATCACATTTTCTAATAAATACATTCAGTTTGATCCAAAACAAAGCACTACAATGTCCCACAAGGGACAAGGTATTTTCAAGTGCATTAAATTGTCTCCCTCCAGACTCCAGCTGCAATCTATCTTAATACATACAGTTTAAAACCATTGCAACTCTTTTTTAAATTCTTATAATTGTTTGATTTTAGTGCAAATATCTTTACTGCTCATCGACCAACTCAGCATTCATTCAAGTGTGAGCATCCACCTTGGTTGGACACATGTCATGAGCCCAAAAAGATCTGTCCATTCATTCAAAATGAAAGACTTTATAAGCGAGTGGGCTACAAATCGAGGCACTTCTCTCCGGCCCTTCTGCTGGGTTTGGGAACTACTTTTCACCTGGTTGACAATCTTCCAGGTGAAGCCTGAGCACCCCCTGACTATGCAGCTGCAACAAGAATTCAAACTCAACCGGCATGGCATGGACTGTGTTTTTAGGTTGTACGTCATCGTAGTAGTGGTTAGTCAGCGCATGGAGTCCCTGGGGGTGATTACCAAAGGGCCAGAACCCATAAAGATGCACATCGGTACAATGTTCCAGCGCCAAGCTCGCCATCATCAGGCCGGTGCTGGCACGTGCTGCTTTTAGGCCTCTGGAGCGCCAGAAGAGGCCCAAACTCTCCAGGTACTCGGGGTTGAAGAAGACAGGCCGGGTGGGGCTTTTAAAGTCCTCAATGCTGTACACGGCCCGCAGGGACAAAGGCGTGTTGAAGCCGTAGGAGAAGGCGGGAAGGAGCAGCAAAGAGTTGCCATAGCTACGCAGACTTTCCACAAACGGACGCCGACGCTGTTGCAGAGACCCGTATCTGTAAAATGAACAGCAGATGTGAAGCACCATGACAAAAAGGAGACGTTTTAAGGGGCAGAGATTTGTCCTGTCACTCACTTGTTAATGAGGATGCTTGGATTTGCTGTCACAAGGTCAGTCTTAATCCCCACATCATTCTCATAGCCGTTGTCCAAGGGAGGTAGGTTACACCTGAACAAGCCACACAGAAGATGTCGGGATTGTTATTTCTTGCTTATTTCTAAAGAGATGAGTTTAATTCTGTTTAAATGTCCTTTTCTAACCTCATAACAAACTCGGCTGAATCAATCATCTTTCCACAGCTGCTGTTGGACAGGATCCCACCGTTCCCAACAACAGAACATGTTCCCCATATTTTGTTTGGGAATGGATGCTCCTGGAGTTATTAATGAAGAGAATTATTATTATTTTAAATAATATTTAAAAGGATGCAATGGTCATACAGTGATGTGATGGTCACTTCCGGAGACAAAACAAAAAGGAATCCCAATTCCACTTCATCAAATGATGAAGAAAGACATTCAACGTGTCACACAGTGTGGCTCAGTCCTGTATTTCACATTCTGCCTCTATGGCCAAATTATTACTCCTACGTGTTCATTTTCAAGTAATTTCTACTCATTCGCTGCTAGCTTAGGAATGTTGCTCTCAAACATCTGATACCGATTTCCAGAGAAACTATCACCTGTGTTTGAATTGGCACCAACCCGAGACGGATGTTGACATGACTTATCTCATCTTTGTATCCTGTGGCTTCTTTGCCGCTCATTGTATTATGTGTATGTATACAGTATGTGTTTTTATTTTTTGTTTTTAGGTTTTAATGCTTAGTTTTAAAAACAATTTGTCTTGTTTGATATAGTTGAGGTTAATATAAAGATAATTGGAATCTGTATTGATGAAGAAAGAAAAAAAATGAAAATGTTTTGACAAATAAGCTTTTTATAAGAGTGTATTAATAATTAATTCAATTCCTTACATTTAGCCTTTTATATTACTTCACATTTTTAATTGTTTGGGCACAGACAACAGATGAACCTGACAACGGCATAAGAACCTGTCAGTCACACAGTAGCTCCACCCTAAAAGCATACCCTGCTTCATGAGGTTAAACATGAAACCATCATACATGTAGTTATTTAACTCATCTTCGTATCACGTGGCTTCTTTGTCGCTCATTGTATTATTTGTGTGATTTATATTGATCTATCCTTACTGTCTTTTATTCTTTGTTTTGATGTAATTATTCATAAATGCCAAACGACGTACCTTTGGGAAGGTGCTGAAAATCTCCGGGGTCACCTGGAGGGTGCGCTTCTTTTCTCCATCATACACAATCTTTGCTCCCACTGGGGTGTTGTCCTGGGTGATGAATGCACTGTCAAAACCATGGCACTTTCTGCTCAGCTGAGATCTGTGGAACCAGAGACATTGTTGAATAACATACAGGAAACTCTGAGGGAATATTCATAGTTTACTAAATTCAGTGGGAGCTTTAATATAAACGTTTTTAATTTGGTCCTGAGTGAAAACAGTCTTAGGTCCCTCAGGTGAAGTCTGTCTGTTTTACTAAAACTCACGTGATGCAAAGGCATGCTATCTTTAGACTATGTCGTAGACGTCAGTCTGCAAGTGCTTCCGCTTTATTCGACATTCCCATTTCCCCGTCTACTTCCATGACTTACCACATAAGTACCTAATTTTTTTTACATCTTCAAAGCAAGCACAGTTCAATATTGTGCATGAGAACAGATGTTGTAAGAATTAAAAATCGGAAGGGCAATTAATGAAAAGTTTGAAATTATGTCCTTTTCTCTTACCTGAAATTTAGGTAATCGCCCACCTGCTTAATCCAGGTTTTATTGTAACGCTCTCTTACTTTGTCGATGACCTGCCTGTGACACACACACACACACACACACACACACACACTGTAATCCTTGTTGCGCTGACATGTCTTGATATAATGTAGGTTTAAAAACAATGTTAGTGACTGTGTTTGCTCTGACCTGCAGCCTTTACAAAGTTCAGAAGGCGGAGGGGTTCTTTTCTTTTGAAAAAACTGCTTTTGAGTTTCCACGTTACTGTGGCACAAACAAGAAGAACAAGGGACAGGAGAGTAAAATGCTGATCTCAGGGATAAAAATGAAGCTTTCAGATGCAGGTGATCTTCATTTTAAAGTCTTATAATGTTATATTGAAATAAAGTGGCTCACATGAAGATCTCCTGACTGAAGTGATACATGTTTATTTATCAGCAAGCACTGCATACCATAAAAATGGAACAAAATGTCTCGTCTAGGCACTATATTTCATGACCGTTACAATTTCTTTATTTGACTATGAGAAGATATCGTTTTGGTCAGTGGTTTGGCGTTACTCATCAACATACTTTCTGAATGTATAAAATTCATCCCATTCAAATTATTATCAGACCATAATAATATCAATAATAATGAGAACATTTAGGTACATATTCCTCAAATTAAAATTCTCCTCAGACAAAAACAAAAATACACTGTGCAATTAGTACAATTCTAAAGTTAATGTGAATTAGTCAAATCTGTATAAAAGTATTAAATGATAAAGTTAATTCGACATTTGCCGATGGACCCGCAAAGATTAAACCAATTGCTTGAGTACAAACAGAGCATAGGCATCTAGCAACAAAGAGCGATGTGTTGTTAAACTAAGAGAGGACCGGTTTGGAAACCAGGTTGATTCAGTTTATCCAAATCGTATTGGCCACACTGATGTTATTCGACTTTGCATTTAGGCCGTTTTTAGCAAACGTTGTTAACGGTTTCAGGTGATTTGATGGTGTTAAACTGAAGCTAAACTTCTTACAGTTTGAGCTAGATGCTGTTTTGATTATAAAAGTGAGCCTTTGCTTGTCGGTCCCCCTGAGGTGGACCTCTATCGTCCTTGTAAACAAAGTTTTTTTTTCTCGGGGATCTTCATTTGTTTTGGGGTCACCTTTGATGACGTCAACACATCCGGGACCCTAGTTATGGCCTTCACAATAAAACGTCATGCTTCAAAATACATAGAAACCGTTGCACGTGCGTTCTTGTTGTTCTCTCCCATCAGCGTCACATTCATATAGGTCTATAAAATATTATTTTATCATTTTTATTTACTTTTCTTTTAATGTTCTGGGGTAGATTCTCGCATCACAGACGGTACGAATTTCTTGCAGACAAACCTTAACTTTTACTGTGAAATATTCGTTTTTCCGGCTTAGCTGTCGCACTTTGCCCAACTTTTACAGGCAAAAACAAAACATAACTTTACAAAAAAAACAAAATCTACTCGTTACTCGAGTTTCGTTCTCTCGTTTCTACGTTTTGGGATTGAGACACGGCGTCCCCTTTATGTTTTGGGCCTGAAACGAAAGCACCGAGGTATTTCCGTTTTCCTCTTCACCTAACGGTAAAACAGACCATCGAGACGTGCACGAGCCGTGCGCGCGGCATTTCGTCTCCACTTTTAAACCTCCAACACCCAGTAACACAAGTCAAGGAATGACGAAAGTGCCGCTGCGCAGACTTACTTTTTGTTGCCATTGTACCAGACGAGAGCGGTCAGCAGAATCCCCAAAAAGAAGAGAGCGATCCCCAAAGAGAAGAGTGACTTCAGGAGACGTCCCCTCATTCTCACCTCCTGCGAACTTCACCCGCAGTGCTCCTCACCTTCCCTCTCGCCTTGTGCTCGATCAACACTCGTCACCTGCTTTCAGTCCGCCAGTTTTCCTCCCCACGCTTCAGCTTAACACACGGTCTCTCCTCCCCTTCCTCCATGCATCTCTCTCTCTGTCTGTTTCTTTATCTCCCCCTTGAGTAATCTTTTGCCCCTTCTACTCCACTGACGCCTCCTCGCAGTCTTCTTGTCTGTAGTTGGTTCAAGACCAACACCGTTGGCACGCTTGAACTTTCAGCTTCCCTTTTGTTTTTCTTGTAGTGATCACAACTTTTGACTGGAGTTCTGCTGCATTCAGCCTCGCCTCCCTGCTTCCTCCTCCTCCTCTTCCTCCAGCCATGAGCCCCTCTGGGCGTTGCACGAGAAGGAGGTAGTAACATGCACAGTGCACAGGACTGAATTAGCCTTTAGTTCCCCCGATGCACATTTGGAAGTGTTAAAGTAACACTTAAAGAGTTCCATTTAACACTATTACCGAGTGTATTTGGTCCCAATCCGAATCGGTGTTAGATTAACTCTTGCTCTCTAACTCTTTAGAATTAAATTAAAGAGTAGAAACATAACAATATTTAAAAGTGTATTGTGTTAATCAAATTTAGCACTACAGGTTAAATAACTCTAGAGAGTGTTGATATCACTCTCATTAGTGTTCAAATTTTCATTGACACTATATATCCATCGACCACGTATCCTTCACACAGGTCACAGGAGTCAGGGAACACCCTGAATTGTACAAACAACCATACACATTCGCACCCACACAGACTCCACACAGAAAGAGAAAGGCATCTGGGCGGCACAGTGCTAAGCACCACACCAAAAAGGGTTATACAAAATGAACACTACGGCAAATAACGCTGGTAAGTGTTGATATTACACACTGCTGCGATGACAATTTACTATATTGTATATCTATATGTGAAAATTTGAACTATCCATTCACACTGCTCGGTGTCACTGAAATTTAACACTATAAAAATCCAGCTCGGTTAGAAATGAGGTGAGGAGATGGGCTTCTGACTCCCCCTGTTGTAACTCCTTAGGTAAACACCAACACCGGGAGGCATTTAAGCTGTTGATTAAATAACTGAGTCAAGAGTCAAAGGACTTTTACACAGCATATTTAACACTGTGGACTGTACTGCGTATGTGTGTGTCAGGAAACGCGTTCAAATTCAATGAGTCAAAGAATGCAAGGGGCATAGTCTTTCCGTCCAATCAGAGACACCCCCAAACTCCTACAGCTGAGGTCTTCAACAGGGAGGGGGTCCGCGAAGGTACTGCAGGGGGGTCGCGAAATGTTTGGGTGATAAGACAATTAAAAAAAAATTAAAAATTCCCCACAAATGTAAATGTCTTCAGAATCAGAATTTTATTTCTGTTCTTTAAATACACATTAACATGAATCCAACATATTGAAGCGAATAAATTGATGGAGAAGACGTTATCTGTCAGTGCGCAACACACACGTTCAGCTTCCCTCAGCAGCTCTCAAGCTGGGTTCACTCACTGCTCCTTTCATGCGAATACGACAGCGCAGGCACCAGCCAATCAGATCGCGTTTATGCTCACGTCTAAAGAGCGTGAAGCTCAAAAATAAAAGATGGCGGACCAAACTCCGTAGAATAGGGGGTCCCTGCTCCACCTCGCCATCAGTTTGGGGGACCTTGGCTTGAAAAACGTTGAAGACCTCTGTCCTACAGAACCAAGCGTCTTTTAATAAGATTACATTATTAAATAAAGTAACAGGGCCTTAACATGCTGGGTAAGCTGGGCTGTCACACAGCAACCCCCCCTCCCACATAAATCCCAAACAATAGAGCTCTGGGAAAGGGTTTGTAGAAAACGTGTGTACAGACTGCTGAGCAGGCAGAATGAGCCATCAATAAAGAAGGTGTAAGGGATCGGGACTGAGACTCAGGCGCAGAGGAATAAAACGACAACATACTTCTTTCCAGGTCAGGGATCTTTACATGCAAATAAGTCCACTTTACAAAACGAACCAAAAAGTAGCACATGGCACACGAAGACTTAACACGCTGGCGAGGAAGAAAGAAGAAGGACTGACAATAAAAAACAGGAAGACCAAAATTTAACACAAGGAACACTGGCTTGAAACATACAAACCCGGGGTGGGACGATAGATAACCTGGGGGCTTAAATACAGGTGGGCGGTGATGGTAAACTGAACCCAGCTGTAGGGGGAAAAGGGCGGGAAACTAAACAAAGACAGAAAGTAAAGTAGTTAAAAGAATAAAGCAGGATGTTATTATTCGCAGTCTCTTCGAGTCGCCACAGAAGGTTGCTTAATTCTGACGAAATGTGCCCAGTGGTACCAATGAGACAGAGGGCTGTTGAGGAAACCCTCTCAAACAATGAACACCTTGAATGAGCTTTGATCAGCTGGGCCTCTCATGTTGAATGTGTGACATGTTCATGTACAAATGGCAACTGGCATAGTGTGCAAAATTCACAAAATGTCCAACGTACCATCTGGGTTTGGCGAATTTTCTGACATCCATGTTGATTGTAAATGCAAATTCAATGTTTCAGTCTGCGCAAAAACGTTTACGACCCACTCTTTTCCCTGACCTCTGTCAGATAGCTGTGCTGTTAATTCTTCCATACTGTTTAAGATTACTCATCCTTTATAGACCTTTAAATGGCTTTGGCCAGTGTTGTCTAGCGCAACCAACTACAATCGTGAATAAAAGTATGTTTCGTAGAGGGTTCTTCATGAAACGCTTGAAAAAAGGTCTCTTTAGCATCAGCGTGTTCTGGGTAGAACCTTCTTCCTTATGGAAGAAACCTTTTTTTATGAATGCACATCTTCAGGTCGCCAGCATGTGACCTGCATCCCTATCAGACAGTAGATATCTGAGGTGTTTCATGCATCATGAGACACTTGCAAGAATGTGGAGAGGAGAGTGGGAGAAATGATGTTACAGCATAGCAGCTACGTGATAATAACAGAGGTGTAGGCAGATATAAAGGAAGTCGCTGCCCCAAAAAACACCTTGCATCTCTGACCGTCTGCTCAATCAAATGTCCAGACCTCTCATCTCGTTTCCCCTCTTCACAGGCCGGACCGATGCCAACCACACACAACAGTCAGCCATTAGCAGACAATGCAATTTCCATCCAAAACTCCGCAGGCTATTTAACCACATTAGATCCAAAAAAGGGATTTTTCAAGCTGACATTCATAAGCTTGTAACACAGGAGATGTCTTGTGTGCTCTTTAACTCTTTAACGTACGGGTGAGTCATATTGGAATCATTACCATGATGGATAATAGTGTAATTAGAAGATAACTATTTGTGATTTGTCTCTTATTGAGCAGACGGCCGGGTTCGGACAAAGGTGGCAAATGTCTGCAAGTTCTGTTTGTGGATGCATCACAAATTGGCAGAAAATGTTTGTGTGCTCCCCGATAGATGGCAAAGTTCCAATTTTCTGAATTTCGTTTCATCATGGTTAACACACATTTATGCGTACAACACCAGTCAAAGGTTTCTCATTTAATAACAAAATGTGTTCACATTTTTGAATGGTACTGTATTTCTGGTCATGTGTGTGTTTGTGTGAGGGAGTCTGGACGCAACATGCTTTGGGGTAGCAGGCCATAACTTATTCCTCTAAAGAGCCCATGTGACATCATCACAAGGCAGACAGGAAGACAAAGACTCAATTGTCAACCAAAAAGCACCCATGAATCTATAGACCCCCACCCCTCCTCCACTTCGTATATGACCCCCCTCCCTCGGCAGCGATTGGGCGATTGTGTGTATATATAAAATCAGTTTATAGGGTACTTTCTATTGGGAAGTAGCTTTCCCCAACCCTGACATCTAAATATAGATTTTTTGTAAATATATATATATTTTTTCAAAACTTTTTTTAAGTTTAAACAGTAGTTGTAGGATTTAGATTTATTTGGGGTTTCATTTTTAACTAATTAGAAAAAGTGGCTAAGACACCAAGAATAGAAAGAACGAGAAAGGAATAAGAAACAAAAGCATGAGAGAAATGTATCAGTGATTTGTGGGAACATAACAGGGAGCAAAGGAATCTCAGGAATTTATGGAGGAAAAGACAGCGAAAGCACAGGGTGATGGTGAAAAGACAGAGCGAGATGGAGACATTTTACAGGGCTTCCAATCTGACTTTGAACAAAATTCCGTAGAGTGGCCCATATATTGGAACAGGAATGCACAGAAGATACAGAAAATAATCACAGGCAGTCAGTTTCACACGTTGTCAGGGTACGCAAAGAAACTTCTGTCAGTAAAAGAAAACTAGAAGATCTCATCTCATTCCTGAGCTCTGTTGCATGCACCACATATACTGTATATAGACATTCCAGCATGTGATGAAAACAGCACAGTTCATCTCAGGAGCAGCCTTCCCCTCAGTACTGGACATTTACTCCACCAGGGCCACCAGGAGAGCCCACAACATCACCAAGGACAGAACACCCCCCCAGCACACACTCTTCTCGCTCTTGCCATCGGGCAGACGCCTCACAAGACGCCTCCATACACCCCCCTCCGCACCCCACTGATAATAGTCCTACTACACACACACACACACACACACACACACACAGACCTGTGACAGGATATATTTATTTATTGTGCTCTTTAGTGTGTGTATATATTTATTTTACTCTATTTTTTATATCTGTAGCTATATGTGTAAGGGGAGCATGGCAAAACAATAATTTCACTGTGCAGAGTAACATGTTAAACTGTACACATGACGATAAATATCTTGAATGTTGCTTCAGGGCCTCAGAAACCTGGACAGGAGTTGAACAGGAGGTTTTCCACTCGTTAGCCCATTCGATGCTTCTCGACTGAAAAGCCTCTGGTTCGAGGCTGCGTACACCTTATGAAGTCATTGTTAGCTTTCTCCAGATGTGGGGCCTAAAAGTGTCCCCTTCCACCTCACTTGTGACTGTTGAAAGGTTTCCCAGGGAAGTGTGATGGAGGCCGGGCAGTAAGGTGGTCATGTGGTTGAGGAACAGCTGATCCTGGTGCAATCCAGAGCTGCTTATCATGAGGCCTGGTACCCTCGTGCATGATTGAACTACTACCAGCCTGCATGTCTCATAAGCACTAATGACACCAGAACACATAACTGACCAAAAGTGTCAGCGCACGCATGCACACACACGTCAATCTGTAGACCACTTTTGTGGAACGAACATGTAGTGCATTATATTAATCTACTATAATGTCTATATAACAATGGCCAATGATAAGACATCTATATTCTTCTCTAATAATCTTAGTCACTTCAGAAGGCGAGATAGTATGTGACCTGCCTGGGAGACGGAAAACAACTATTTTTTCACACAAGAAGCTGGTTGTGTTGGCTAGATTGGCGGCGGCCGTCACCGCGGTTGAAGGTTGTAAAAAAATATGTTCGAGGTGGAGTCGCACGAGGAAGCAATGAAATGCATCTGAGCATCACAATCACAGCAGAATCCACCGGGTGTTAAAGTTACCGTTGGTGACGAGTGTTTTTGGTATCTCACAAATCAGATAGATTTAAGTGAATTCTGCAGCCGAAACTGCTCGCACAACGTTGTTTCATTAAAGGAAAAAACACAACACAACTCACTTTGAGCATACGTTTAAACTGAATTTAAACTGAATTTAATATTACAAAGTAAGAAATTATAATGTCATGTGTTCAGATAGCATACGTTTGTTTTCAATCTTTAGAAGACGGGTCCACTGCCAGAAACTTCCAAAATTCAATTACACCTTTGTTGTCATTATTTATGATAAGAAAATCTGTGACCAGGGGGCCGTTTTAAGAAGCAGGTTTATGAGGCCCAGATGAGGGAAACTCTGGCCTGTCCGTTTCACAAAGGGATGTAACTAATGCTGAGGGTCAGTCACCATGGTAACTGAGCCTGTGAACCCAACCTGGTCGGAAGCAGGTTTTCTTCAATAAACCTCGAGTTTCTTTCACAGTCTTCTCCCTCTGACAGCAGCCCAGCCAATCACACAGCGCGCGTTCATTTCCTCGCTCATTCAAGTAGTCTATCAGGCGTATTTTAGCGCAGTTTCCACATATGAACAAAATAAGATCTGTTACGTACGTAACTAACGTCACCCATCGTGGACATGCTCTCACGTCAGAGCACATTCTTTGTGTAGAATTACTTTTTTTGCAAACGGCAGTTTCCTTTACAACATTAGAATATTAGTAAAGCTGCTGTATGCAGCGCCGTGAAAAACATGTGTGTCGCTCTGAAACGTCTTTTAGACTTTAATGGCTGCACTGGTTTTTGCTCCCTGGACACAAACCAGTGAAGCCATTAAAGAGGAGATCCACAGGATGCACCTGAATAAAGTACATTATAGGTTCAGTACCATTGTACCAGTTTTTACCAGCGATAATATTCTTGTGATTAAATATGAGCATGGGTGTGTATTTCAAGCCTGTGTGTAGTGCATTCTAACAGTGTAAAAACTGGGAATTAGTAAAACATATGGATTACGATTAGTGTGTACATTCAATATCAACTGAATATATTAACTTCACACCATATTGTAACTTATGGCCAACACATGGCCCCCGTGCCTCACTGTCCAATGGCAGATCCACACATACAAACCCATCCAGTGCTTGCCTTAAAGGACAATAAAACAAACTGCTTTTTGGTTCCAACAGGAAAGATCACATTTTCTAATAAATACATTCAGTTTGATCCAAAACAAAGCACTACAATGTCCCACAAGGGACAACGTATTTTCAAGTGCATTAAATTGTCTCCCTCCAGACTCCAGCTGCAATCTATCTTAATACATAGTTTAAAACCATTGCAACTCTTTTTTAAATTCTTATAATTGTTTGATTTTAGTGCAAATATCTTTACTGCTCATCGACCAACTCAGCATTCATTCAAGTGTGAGCATCCACCTTGGTTGGACACACAAGCCCAAAAAGATCTGTCCATTCATACAAAATACTTTATAAGCGAGTGGGCTACAAATCGAGGCACTTCTCTCCGGCCCTTCTGCTGGGTTTGGAAACTACTTTTCACCTGGTTGACAATCTTCCAGGTGAAGCCTGAGCACCCCCTGACTATGCAGCTGCAACAAGAATTCAAACTCAACCGGCATGGCGAGGACTGTGTTTTTAGGTTGTACGTCATCGTAGTAGTGGTTAGTCAGCGCATGGAGTCCCTGGGGGTGATTACCAAAGGGCCAGAACCCATAAAGATGCACATCGGTACAATGTTCCAGCGCCAAGCTCGCCATCATCAGGCCGGTGCTGGCACGTGCTGCTTTTAGGCCTCTGGAGCGCCAGAAGAGGCCCAAACTCTCCAGGTACTCGGGGTTGAAGAAGACAGGCCGGGTGGGGCTTTTAAAGTCCTCAATGCTGTACACGGCCCGCAGGGACAAAGGCGTGTTGACGCCGTAGGAGAAGGCGGGAAGGAGCAGCAAAGAGTTGCCATAGCTACGCAGACTTTCCACAAACGGACGCCGACGCTGTTGCAGAGACCCGTATCTGTAAAATGAACAGCAGATGTGAAGCACCATGACAAAAAGGAGACGTTTTAAGGGGCAGAGATTTGTCCTGTCACTCACTTGTTAATGAGGATGCTTGGATTTGCTGTCACAAGGTCAGTCTTGATCCCCACATCATTCTCATAGCCGTTGTCCAAGGGAGGTAGGTTACACCTGAACAAGCAAAAAAGATGTCCGGATTGTTATTTCTTGCTTATTCCTAAAGAGATGAGTTTAATTCTGTTTAAATGTCCTTTTCTAACCTCATAACAAACTCGGCTGAATCAATCATCTTTCCACAGCTGCTGTTGGACAGGATCCCACCGTTCCCAACAACGGAACATGTTTCCCATATTTTGTTTGGGAATGGATGCTCCTGGAGTTATTAATGAAGAGAATTATTATTATTTTAAATAATATTTAAAAGGATGCAATGGTCATACAGTGATGTGATGGTCACTTCCGGAGACAAAACAAAAAGGAATCCCAATTCCACTTCATCAAATGATGAAGAAAGACATTCAACGTGTCACACAGTGTGGCTCAGTCCTGTATTTCACATTCTGCCTCTATGGCCAAATTATTACTCCTACGTGTTCATTTTCAAGTAATTTCTACTCATTCGCTGCTAGCTTAGGAATGTTGCTCTCAAACATCTGATACCGATTTCCAGAGAAACTATCACCGGTGTTTGAATTGGCACCAACCCGAGACGGATGTTGACATGACTTATCTCATCTTTGTATCCTGTGGCTTCTTTGCCGCTCATTGTATTATGTGTATGTATACAGTATGTGTTTTTATTTTTTGTTTTTAGGTTTTAATGCTTAGTTTTAAAAACAATTTGTCTTGTTTGATATAGTTGAGGTTAATATAAAGATAATTGGAATCTGTATTGATGAAGAAAGAAAAAAAATGAAAATGTTTTGACAAATAAGCTTTTTATAAGAGTGTATTAATAATTAATTCAATTCCTTACATTTAGCCTTTTATATTACTTCACATTTTTAATTGTTTGGGCACAGACAACAGATGAACCTGACAACGGCATAAGAACCTGTCAGTCACAAAGTAGCTCCACCCTAAAAGCATACCCTGCTTCATGAGGTTAAACATGAAACCATCATACATGTAGTTATTTAACTCATCTTCGTATCACGTGGCTTCTTTGTCGCTCATTGTATTATTTGTGTGATTGATATTGATCTATCCTTACTGTCTTTTATTCTTTGTTTTGATGTAATTATTCATAAATGCCAAACGACGTACCTTTGGGAAGGTGCTGAAAATCTCCGGGGTCACCTGGAGGGTGCGCTTCTTTTCTCCATCATACACAATCTTTGCTCCCACTGGGGTGTTGTCCTGGGTGATGAATGCACTGTCAAAACCATGGCACTTTCTGCTCAGCTGAGATCTGTGGAACCAGAGACATTGTTGAATAACATACAGGAAACTCTGAGGGAATATTCATAGTTTACTAAATTCAGTGGGAGCTTTAATATAAAGGACTTTAATTGGGTCCTGAGTGAAAACAGTCTTAGGTCCCTCAGGTGAAGTCTGTTTTACTAAAACTCACATGATGCAAAGGCATGCTATCTTTAGACTATGTCGTAGACGTCAGTCTGCAAGTTGTTTCTCTTTATTCGATATTTTGATTTCCCCTTCTACTTCCATGACTTACCACATAAAGAGCAAGCAAGCACAGTTCAATATTGTGCATAAGAACAGACGTTGTAGGAATTGGAAGGACAAATCGTAATACTTGGTTTGTTCTGACAGCTCCCTTAAATAACCAACTGAGACAAATAGTGTTGTTCCATGTGCACCATTAAGCACAGCTTAATGCACAGTTCATTTAAACTACCTTTTAAATCTCACCCATTGTACATTCATGGACTGTGACAGTGCACAATGTACAATTCCTGCGACCATAGACCCAGGTCCAGCTTGCATGGACAATCGTTTGCAATTCTGTCAAACTCTATCATTATGTTACAAATTCTGTATGAAATATGAAAAAGTTTGAAATGATGTCCTTTTCTCTTACCTGAATTTTAAATAATTGTCCACCTGCTTAATCCAGGTTTTATTGTAACGCTCTCTTACTTTGTCGATGACCTGCCTGTGACACACACACACACACACACATATTGTAATCCTTGTTGCGCTGACATGTCTTGATATAATGTAGGTTTAAAAACAATGATAGTGACTGTGTTTGGTCTGACCTGCAGCCTTTACAAAGTTCAGAAGGCGGAGGGGCTCTTTTCTTTTGAAGAGACAGCTGTCGAGTTTCCACGTTACTGTGGCACAAACAAGAAGAACAAGGGACAGGAGAGTAAAATGCTCAATCTCAGACTGACTGAAGTGATGCATGTTTATTTATCAGCCAGCTACGGTGGCCCTGAAGTGCAAAACACAACTGAAAAAAGGAACGCACAACAGAAAATAGAAAAACACAACGACATTAACTTCTTACGGAAAGGGTAGGGCCTTATAGCAGGTAGCAGAGGACGGACCCTTCTGATTGGACAGACTGACTGTCTGTCTGTCTTTTAACCCTCTTAATCCGAAGCCTTTCGTCGGCGATGGAAAGTGACATGGAGGATTCAAAATTACCGTGACTCCTTTAACTATTTGCAGAATCGGATTTTGAAATCTGAGAAATGCCGCTTTCTAGATATTATGTCAATCAATAAATCAGTGGCGGGACTGAGAGCCTGTGATGAGGGTGGAATTGTATGTGTGGCCGGAGTGCGTGACACTTGAGAGCACTGTATCATTTCCAGTTAAAAGAGAGACAGTCCGACTGTCCAATCAGAAGGGTCCGTCCTCTGCTTCCTGCTATAAGGCCCTACCCTTTCCGTAAAAAGTAAATGTTGTGTTTTCCTATTTGCCGTTGTGTTTTGCACTTCAGGGCCACCGTAGCAAGCACTGCATACCATAAAAATGGAACAAAATGTCTCGTCTAGGCACTAGATTTCATGACCGTTTAAATTTCATAATTTGCTTAGGAGAAGATATCCTACTGGTCAGTGGTTTGGCGTTACTCATCAACATACTTTCTGAATGTGTAAAATTCACCCCCACGTTTTCAAATTATTTTCAGACCATAATAATATCAATAATAATGAGAACATTTTAGGTACATATTCCTCAAATTAAAATTCTCCTCAGACTTTAAAAACAAAAATACACTGTGCAATTAGTACAATTCTAAAGTTAATGTGAATTAGTCAAATCTGTTTAAAAGTATTAAATGATAAAGTTAATTCGACATTTGCCGATGGACCCGCAAAGATTAAATCAAATGCTTAAGTACAAACAGAGCATAGATATTTAGCAACAAAGAGCGGATGTGTTGTTAAACTAAGAGAGGACCGGTTTGGAAACCAGGTTGATTCAGTTTATCCAAATCGTATTGGCCACACTGATGTTATTCGACTTTGCATTTAGGCCGTTTTTAGCAAACGTTGTTAACGGTTTCAGGTGATTTGATGGTGTTAAACTGAAGCTAAACTTCTTACAGTTCGAGCTAGATGCTGTTTTGATTATAAAAGTGAGCCTTTGCTTGTCGGTCCCCCTGAGGTGGACCTCTATCGTCCTTGTAAACAAAGTTTTTTTTTTCGGGGATCTTCATTTGTTTTGGGGTCACCTTTGATGACGTCAACACATCCGGGACCCTAGTTATGGCCTTCACAATAAAATGTCATGCTTCAAAATACATAGAAACCGTTGCACGTGCGTTCTTGCTGTTCTCTCCCATCAGCGTCACATTCATATAGGTCTATAAAATATTATTTTATCATTTTTATTTACTTTTCTTTTAATGTTCTGGGGTAGATTCTCGCATCACAGACGGTACGAATTTCTTGCAGACAAACCTTAACTTTTACTGTGAAATATTCGTTTTCCGGCTTAGCTGTCGCACTTTGCCCAACTTTTACAGGCAAAAACAAAACATAACTTTACAAAAAAAACAAAATCTACTCGTTACTTGAGTTTCGTTCTCTCGTTTCTACGTTTTGGGATTGAGACACGGCTTCCCCTTTATGTTTTGGGCCTGAAACGAAAGCACCGAGGTATTTCCGTTTTCCTCTTCACCTAACGGTAAAACAGACCATCGAGACGTGCACGAGCCGTGCGCGAGGCATTTCGTCTCCACTTTTACACCTCCAACACCCAGTAACACAAGTCAAGGAATGACGAAAGTGCCGCTGCGCAGACTTACTTTTTGTTGCCATTGTACCAGACGAGAGCGGTCAGCAGAATCCCCAAAAAGAAGAGAGCGATCCCCAAAGAGAAGAGTGGCTTCAGGAGACGTCCCCTCATTCTCACCTCCTGCGAACTTCACCCGCAGTGCTCCTCACCTTCCCTCTCGCCTTGTGCTCGATCAACACTCGTCACCTGCTTTCAGTCCGCCAGTTTTCTGTCGTGCGAGCAAAACAAGGACTAGACTGGAGACTTAAATTAAAGCAATATGACAAAGTTTATTTGCAACAAATTGTGTCCTGCAGTTTAACGTGCACGGACCTATTTCTGGCAGTTTAACAACAATATGAAAGAAGGCGCTTTAATACAAAATGCGCTCGAATTATACGGTCTCTAAGAGCATTTTTGATTGGTTATTAAGATGGAGGCGACTGCTGCTTAGAACCCTCGGAGAGCCCCATTGGAGCACAGGCATGTCCATCCTTCCGGGCTCTCGGATCAACACGCCTCCCGTTGTTCATGAGTTCTATATATCAGGAGTTTGCAAGATGCATTTGACCCAGATAGTGCGTGCATCTTTTTGCAACATGTTTGTGTGCTGGTGTTGTGACTTGAAATACATGTGGTTTCAATCCTGCCTTTAAGCGGCCTTCACCCATTATTACTATGCATTTATAGTTCAAGTGTAATTTCATTCTAGCGTAAGCGTCTATGTTTATATTTTACTATTTTTACTTTAACAGTTCAATACCGTTGTACCAGTTTTTACTAGCGATATTATTCTTGTGATTAAATATGAGCATGGGTGTGTATTTCAAGCCTGTGTGTAGTGCATTCTAACAGTGTAAAAACTGGGAATTAGTAAAACGTATGGATTATGATTAGTGTGTACATTAAATATTAACTGAATATTAACTTAACAATATATTGGAACTTACACCGTTCGTCTTTTCCCTGCAGCAGCGGTGTTGCTTTTCTTTCTAATTACGGGTTCATACGTACGCTTGCATTAATATTTGCAGCTCAATAGGGGTGAATATATTGTTTGTGGTGGTTGCCATAGTGAATCGTGGTATCGTGGCTCCATTCATGCTGCCTTCATACTGTGGTGGTGCACGCGTTCAACTCGGAGTCAACTGAACCAACTCTAAACAGTTTCCCATCTCAGGGTGAATCAACTCAGAGTTTAGGGTTTGACTCAGAGTTTCTTAAACCTCCTACTTGAATCGGACCCCACGGCCCTGTTCCTCGTACGTGGTTCAACTAAGTCGATCAATTGTCCGATTATCCAGCTCAAATTACCAAGATGATTGACATGAGGCTATCTCGCTTCCTCGAAGGCGGATCGGCACTCAAACCGTCTGGTTAGTTTGAACCAGATGTCAGTCATCAGGATAACCACGCGCGCGTTTTAAGTCAGAAGGCGGAAGAGTCGATCACCGAAACTAGGATTTTTTTAACAGTGCCGATGTGAGGGTTTCTGGACAGAGGATGTCACATGTGTGCAGACTGTAAAGACTGAGGCAAATTTGCGATACAAAATAAAATAAATGATATAATTTATGGCAAAAACTGACACCGCCCCCCTGCGAGGATACAAGCCCGACAAAGTATCACACAAGTGAACGTTAATTGTGTGGGTGTTGGTAAAATGTATAGGCTCATTTAAGTGCCGTTACTGTAATCAATCAGATTATATTTCACTCTTAAAAAATAGTTTGTTTAACTCAGTGAAGCTTTTATGTTGCCAGAGATCTAAAACATACACTAATGAATCATGTATTCATACAGGTTTAAATGTTTACATTGTATGTGTTTAAGCTCATTATATTACCAATCTGGTTCATTCTCACCTCTGATATTCTTTTACGGAGCTTACACACCAAACAGACCTACAGGAGACATAGAACCTATAGGAGCGTTTAGCAGCTTAAATTGTCACTTCATGAGCAAAAAAGACCCACAAGGCAATCAGTTGCTTTATGTACACTTTTATTGTCGGCACTTGACAGGTGGCAGTGGCAGTGAGGATTGACAGAACCACGTCACTTCTTGGTCTCGTCCTCCTTGGAAAAGGCCTTTATCATCTCCTCCTTCTTGGCCTGGAGACGCTCCTCTCGGCGCTTGCGTGCCTCCTTTGTCTTGGAGCGACGGGCCTCTGCTTGATCGCTGTAGGACAGGCAGACAGGGGTTCATACAGGGTGTAATCGATCAAGCAGATGTAATGCATGCGCATTGGCTTCAAATGTACACTTGGTTATGATTGTTTAGCTTTTACTGGAGCGGGGAATTGCAACACACAAACAGATCGCTTCAACTGGAGCACAAAATAACTGGAGAACATCTGAATAAGACAAGTTTCTATTCAAAACAATTTGAAAGTGAACATAATGAACTTTTAATTATTGCTTACTGCAAATAGTTCTCAGGATGAACACCGTTCAAAGAGCCCTTTTCTAAACACAAACAACTGAAGCCGGTTTCAAACTTACGACAGGAGCTTCCTGCGGGCCTTGTCTGCCTTCAGCTTATGAATGTGCTCCATAAGGATGCGCTTGTTCTTGAACACGTTACCCTTGGCCCTCAGGTAGAGGCTGTGGTACCTGAGGAATAGTGGAGGAAAGAAATGGTGAAATAATACAATAAACAATCTGCTTAAAATTCAGGCACAAGTGTGCCAGTGTCAAACACCTTAACTGAGTGCAAGTTCTAATTTTGAAATAATTTCCGGTCTGCTTATTGTAGAAAGAGCCCAGGGTTGGAGCTACTAATTCACCTAAACTTGAAAAAAAAAAAAAAAGTATGTTTGTGTGGCCAAATCTCATCGGAAAATCCACACTGTTAAAGGCTTAAACAAAACTATTCCGAAACGTCTCGCAAAAACCTATATATCATGCCACCTCAACCGCAGAGACACAGACGATGTTGTGGACCTACATGTGCCTGTCAATCTTCTTGGCCTCCCGGTAGCGACGCAGCAGACGACGCAGGACCCTCATGCGGCGCATCCAGCACAACTTCTCTGGCATACGGGCGTTGGCGGTACCTTTTCTCTTACCTGTGAAAAAGGGATAAGAAAGCGGGTCAACTGTACCGCATGTATGGAACCCAAAACATACGTGTAGTAATCTTCACACGATGACTTTCCCCTAAGGCAGCCACGTTGGCGGTTTGAACTCACCGGTTCCCATGTGTCTTCCCTTGCGACGTGCCAATGTGTTCTTGCGGCAGCGGGCACGGGAGTGCACAGTAACAGGTTTGCGAATGATAAGACCATCCTTCACCAGCTTACGGACCTGCTGACCTTAAGACGTAAGGGAACCAGTGAGCTACAGGCGGGAACAGGTTTATAAAACCCTTCAGAAATGATCAGCAATGTGGACATCATTTCCAAACATTTCAAAATGCAACGAGGAGCGTACAAGACCACATGAGATTGTGGTCTCATTTCCTCCCAATTAAGCAAACATAATTGAATAGGGTCAGTAAAACAGACAACTTAATTTAGAAATGAAACAAAAACCATGCGTTGCAAACTGAGAATATGGAGTTTAAAAGAAGAAAAAAATGATTTATTGCATGCAGATTCTCAAGACAAAAATTGTACTAACGTTAAAATAAAAAACAAACGTCACAATATCTTAACTTCAATGCCTACCATGTATACTGTCATTTGTAATAGTTTCTCATTAAACCTCTAAATTCAGGTAAACATGCTTCTGGTTAACGAAAGACATTACAAACACCGACACGTTACTCAGCATCAGTGACAAGCGGGCGCACGTGTCGCTTAATTGTGAGGTTACAAACCGGCACGGACACATTGCGAGACAAATAAGACTTGTCTCGGGTAAAATGGTTCGACAGACAGACGTTGTTGTAAGGTCGCTTACGTGAGTTGGCGTTGGCGATCTCGTTGGTCTCGTTGGGGTCCAGCCAGACCTTCTTCTTGCCGCAGCGCAGGACGCTGGAGGCCAGCCTCTTCTGGAGCCTGAGCATGCCGGAGGACACACGCGACACAGGTTAAAACACCAAACAAACAAAAAAGCCGACCATCTACTTGACGTAACATTGGGTGTGCCAGATGTTGTGCCCGCACAGCTGACACGTTGCTCGGCGTTAAAACGTTTAAAGAGCGCTTGAGTAGCCGAGCGGCCGCTAGCAGCTCGGCTAGCTGCCGGCTAGCAAACATGGCGTCTCTGTCTGCTACATCGTGTCACACATGGGCACGTAATGTAGGTGTTGGTGGTCTTCGATTAAGGTTGAAACTTCATGTGGTGCTTACGTAGAAACTGTTGCAATTAACTGAAAAGTTGTAGGGTTGTAAATATGTATTATAGCGGTTAAATGGTGACTTGTATTTGGCCGTCAGCAGTGGTCGTACCTCATGGCTGCTACTTCAGTTGGAAAAGGAAGGCTCGAGAGGCGGACTGGAACGTACCATTCTAGAGGCGAGTCCATCTCGAAACACTTTTCCATTTGCTCAGACCATACTACACATTTTGGTAACACTCATATTTCAAGGGTTTGTTATTTGTGCCATTTAAAACAAATGTTTATAGGAAATGCAGACATTAACAAACGTTGAGTTCACTTTAAAAGTTAAGTAACAACTTAATAAGTGTTCTTCCCTTGTATAATAATGGTCGTAACCAGTGTTTCTGCATTGCATTGTGGGTGAGCGCATTCTGCTTTTTAAACACATGGAAGCACTGTTTAGACCCTTAGACCCGAAACGCCATCTATACCAATCAGAGAAGTATTTAGATTGTTATTTTTAAGGAATATTTGTATTATGTTTAATATATTACACTTATACACTGATGACAAATATTTCAAATTTTACCCGTTTTTATAGGTAATCCTTAATGTAAAGCATTAAAAACACTCAATTAGCTTTCTACAAAAACAATAGCGAAATCAAAAAAGGAAATTCAAATTCAACAGTGCAATAAACCATAAACTTACTAAATTATACCAATAGAGCGTATTATTTCAGGTTTATCTTTTTTGTGTTTTCTATTTCAATTTTGTGACATATTCTGCATCATATGTCCGATGAGACCAGACTGGCTTATGTGTGTTGAAAGAAATAAAGTTTTAAACTCAAGACATTTCAATTGATGCCAAATATATTTGTGGTTCGTCTTCTGGCTGTTTACAATGTAATTGATGTTTGTACGTTATCCCTATCAAATGTATGGCTTCTATCATAAAACATTGCACGGAAGTAGAGACATAACAGAATAAACGTTTGAGCTCAATAATTAAACTTTACTGTGATAAAAAATACAACTAACTAGTACATAACCGTCTTAGTTGCCAGTGCACTGTTGCAATTCTGGCTCTCCAGCAGAGGCCCGTCACCATGGCAACGCTGCATGCTCACAGTGTGGGTGCACGAGGAGCTCTTGTGTGACTTCTTCACCTCAAGTTACCCAGGAATATCAACTGAAATTGGCATCTCCAAGCAAAATATAACCCAAAGTACCGGATCGCTTCCCACCACAGCTTCAACAGACTCAGCTCTCCTCTCCGAACAAAACTGTTCCGCACAATGAGGGAACAAAAGTGTGCCAACCTTAAGGGCGTTGGACTACATGTTGGGCTACTGTGAGGAGGAGGGTCAATGATGTGACTAGTGTCTTACAGTCCTACACTGTACTTTTTTTTGAAGTAGCTTATCCCTTTGTTTCATACATCATTCCTTTGTTTCATACCTCTGTGGTTTGGTAACAATCAACTAACCCAAAATAATACAACTTCCTCGCCTTTTCTGTTTTGTGATTGTTTTTGTCTTAAACTTGTTTTTCATACGATATAAATACAGAATCAAACTGTATGACAGTACCACTGGTTTCTGTACCAATAGAGAATGATCAGAAATCAAGAGAAAGGGTAACCCTCGCAAGAATCACAATGTTTACATGTACAGTACATGCACAATTCTACGTGGCAACAAGGTCAACCTGATGGAGCAACTGCAGTCTCACATTTTTGCTGCGCATTAAAAAGAAAGAGACCATTTTCAACAGATTTGTAGTGCTTGTTATGTGCAATGCAACTGCTGATTAATACTGTCTAGGTATAGTGCACTGATTCCAATTATTCTTCTGAATGAATTACTGCACAGAGGTGTGTTGTGCAAGTTGAGCAGGTAGCCCAAAGATATTCACTGTGGCATTTTCATCTTTAAGCACTTCATATAAAACATTGCATCTTCACTCGTATTATATGTATTGATTTTCTTCAACCTGTTTACTCAAGATACAGTAAATCGTATTAAAGGTGGTGAAAGCAGCATAAAGCCTGAGGTCTCTTCTTCCCAGGTACTTTGAGCTAGCATGAGGCCACTCGTTTGTCTAATGACTAGCAGAATGACATTCTCGCAGCGTCAGATGGAAACTGGAATGACATTTGTGGGGTCTTTAAATGGGCAATCGTGATGAAGCAATTGTACGGCTTTCCTTCACAAAGCTGGTTCATGAAGCAGACTCATCATATAACGCCCATTTAGACGGAGATAAAAACGAACAACACAGAGGAGAGAATGAATAAGATATTGAGGGATATCTGTTATAGTCTTTAACCTTGTATTTCTTGCTCTTATTTGTATTCCAAAATGTAAGTTTATTCCGCTGCTGCGATGACCGCAAGAAGTGACACACACACACACACACAAAAGAAAACTAAATGCCAAAGATGACTGTCCACTCAGTTACCTTGAGCAACAGCGCAGAAGATGAGAAACAGGTGAGCAGCCGCGGAACCAACTGAAACTCCGTCATCGCCGCTGCACATTATGTTCTTGGAAGATGTCGACCAGCTGCTGCAGGAGAGTCACAGAGACTCTAGCACCATTTTTAAAAAGAACACCATGATTCTCTTTCTGTCTGTATTTTTTGAAGAGGTTAACCGCCTCTCTGGATGAATAAACCACGAGCTTGTGCCTTTAACTCATCAGCTGGGGACTCAATGTCACAGAAGGAACTCGTCCCAGATATCTATATCACAGATTATTGTCTTCCCAGGTCAGAGTTAATGCAGAGCAGCGGAGTTGGAGGAATCTTTCCCTTGTTTGTTCAGGTTTACTGAATGAACTGCTGCATGAGAAAAAAACAGAACAAAACAGAATAATTAGAATATTGAATATTCAACATACGTTAATTCAGGTGTTCAGAAATATGGCTCCTAATGTACTCTAATTAGGGCTGTCAATAGATAACTAAAAAAAAATAACAAATTAACGGCACATTTTGAAGTTAATCAAGATTAAAAGTTTTTTTTTCTCCTAAAGACTAAATCTTACAAGTAATTAAATCACTTTAGAAACCCCTTATTTTAGACAGTGTTGTTTAATTTGATAGCGACTCTTCCTGCTGTCCTGGTGCACTTTGCTCTCAACTCATCAGTCATTTGACAGCTGTGCTTGAAGTCCCAACAATCTCCCGACATTTAGCAGGACGTTTTCCACACCACTGTCTTTTAGAGGCACAGTAGTGGTCCTCTGTAGACTGTGTGCCGCACATGTTGAGATGAAAGTACCCTAGCAGCTTAGCTTAGGCTAGCGGTGCGTACAGTGGTCTGTTTGCCACTGACCCCCCCCTTTCTGTTTGACCGTTCTCCGCTGTATGTCTCGCTTCGTTGTGGTTTTGTTTGCGGGGATCAACTTTGTTCAAATATTTTATCGCATTAATCTCAGCCACACTAGTCGCATAGATTAACGACTTGACTTTGACCGCCCTAATTCTACTGTTGCTCCATTTTGACCCACAAAATGGTCAGCTAGAGAAATAATGTCGCTATTGTTGTGTTTAAGACTTGTTCGTAGCTAAACATTGGATGTTGGAAACAATTTGGATGTAAAACTAGCTGTTACTCATGAAGGACATTTAACAGCCGGCTTAAATTTGACTCCATTTTTGTTTGGTTATGGGTCACCAAATTCAATTAATATTTATTGTAATTTTTGCTGTAGGTGCACATCGTCATCCTGGCTGATTTCATGTATATTTAACTAGTTAATATAATTATGTTGATTTATTTTTTGCTCTCTTGATCGTCCACAGAGCTCGAACACCTGGGGCCCCTGGCAACCACTCAGCCCAGGGCTCAAGCTGTAAATGTCAGTAATTGTAGGTATGTTTCGAGGCCCCACCCACGGTTCAACATTACATCATCAACCAAACCGAGTCTGAAATCACCACAGTCCCTGGAGTTTCCCTCTTTACTTACTCAGGGCCACATCGCCACGAGTTTTCAGAAACCACACCTCCCCATTGCTGCAAAAAAAGTAAACTGTGAATCTGAACAATTTTAATCCCCAGTTTAAACCCGTGAGGACCCGTGAGGACCCGTGAGGCCCCGGCGGTCTGTCTGTGCCTCCTCCTGCGGCTGCACGGCCGCTCTGTTGTTCCTTCATCGATCGATGGGTGAAGGTGGGGTCCGGTCAGCGGGGCGTGGACCTCGGCTCCCAGCTGGAGTCCGTCGAGCGCTGCACAAGGGAGCGAAACGGCGTGAAGCCGGACAGAGACGTGCCGGTAGTGAGAGCAACGCGCCTTCAAAGTTAGAGCCTGTGTTTGAAAAGCTCAGATGTAACCTGCAATCACCTGACGACAAGCATTGTTCTGAATACTTACGGAAATGGACAAATTGAGTTGAGGTTCATTGTAAAAAATGATTGAAAACCAGTGTTGGCATTTAAGTGGATAACATTTATGAAACTCAAGTGTGTTTACTTTCACATACTATGACCGTGTGGTAAATATGATGTACAAGTATGTGTTTTAACATGTGTGTGTAAATCTAAAGGCTTCGGTGCCTTTTGACAACTGTTTTTGTGATTCCTTCGTCATGTTTCATAGGCTGCACATTTTGGTTTGCAGTCTGTTGCAGGCTACTCAAATTTGCATTGTGCAAAAGAATGGGATATGTATAGAGTCCATCTCATCAACATGAGTAGGCTTATTGTTTTAGGAAATGCGACTAACAATTAAATTGACTTTACCGAAATATTTTATTTTGAAAACACTAACCGGATGTGCGGGTGCGTCACTCCGTTCACTTGTCTCGTCGGAGGCTGGTGCGCCAGTGTGTAACGCTAGAGGCTGGAAGGAGGCAGCTGTTGCCATTATTCCACCAGCCAGCTCAGACACATCAGCGGCTTCATCCTCCCTAAAGAAAAAAAAAGACGAAGAGGAAGAAGAAGATGAGTCAGTCGAAACCTTCATAAACCCTCGAAGCTGAAAATAGATTGAAAAAAGTTAAATCAATGGTACAGAAAAGTAGTATGTCCAGGACGCCTTCGACCTCAACCCAGGAGATCCAAATGGACATGTTCGACCATCATCCACACACACAGGTAAGAAGATCAATAAGGATGGACAAACAAAAACACCGCGTGAACTAGCGGTGCATTGTTACAAATGCGATGACGGCGGAGCTGCTTCACTTCCGAAGATTAACAGGTTGTTTGGTAATTAAATCGCCCAATTTGCCTTCGGGAGTGTACAACGCTGGTGTGCGCGGCCCTAGATTGTGATTTCTGATTTCTTTCTCCTTTCTCCATCAAAAATGGATGAAGGTGTTGTAGTTTTCGTGTGCTTTGCATTTCGATTTATATTTCCGCCCCTACGCCTGTTATAATAACGCTCTGTGTGCGTGATGTAACCCGTGTTTCTATTGCTTGTCCCTTCGTTGGGTCTTCACTAAAAACCACGCCTTTGTTTAATTAATCATTAATTAACCAAGTAGACGATACACGACATCGTGCTGCAGGAGAGGTGGATTTTATTTAAATTGACATGAATCACACAAATAAAATACGAGGTGAAGTTTTCAACTCTCACGTGAAATTATTTCATTTGTGTTTTTTTTGTGATACGTGAATCTGACGTCGGGTGTGTTTTCTGAATCAGGAGGCTCTCCAACACCCTAATCTAACCTCCGGGATTCAACTTGGGGAAGTGATTCTCTCTCTTTCTCCCCTTCAGGCCCCATTCCATCCCCTCAAACGTCACTATTTATAAGGCTACACATAGGCTGTTAGGAACCGACATGATGTTGTGGGCATGTTTAGTCATAACAGTTTAAATGCCCCCCCCAAAAAAAGATGAGAATATCCAGAACAACACACCTACACTGAGCTCAGTCACTGTCTCTCTGGAGAAGAAAAGGAAACCTGTCGTAGACAACCGACGCTAAAACAAAGCCATCTCTGCTCTCTCCCTTTTACTCCCACTCCTGCCAGCTCCTCTCTTCCGCCTCAGCTCTCCATCCACATCCTCTCCGAATCGTCCCACTATCTCCTTCCACCATCTCCACCCTGCTCCCACCGTCTCACCTCGTCCGATCTGTTTTTAGAAATCACATCTCTGTCTGCTGCGAGGTTTCTGGTGAGAAACAGATGGACCCCCTCCTCCTGCCAGGCAGCGGGGAACGGTGTGTGTGTGTGTGTGTGACAACTTCTGATCCATTAGATAGAAGGTTCATGCAGACCTGCAGCAGGTCATGCTGATATATGTATTTATAACCCTTCTGTGGAGAAACAGTATTACTAATATCCTGAAGGAGACGGAAGAACTGATCCAAATTCCCTCCGAGGGTCTCTTATATTAACGATTGTGCCCGTTGACCAGCGTGTGTGGAGCCTTCTGGGTGAAAGAGTGTAATATGTTTGATATTTTACAGTCCGATCGTGCACCCCATCAAACGCACGCACTGCACGCACACACACAAGACTCTTTTTAATTATACATTTAATCTGGGAGGATGTTTACCAACAGGAAGCCTTCCCTCCCTACTTCCTCTGGCATTTCCCTGCCCTTTGCTGTCAGGAACTCGCCCAGCCGTTGTTACGATTATAGAGACCCCCATAAACTAGTGCACTCACACACTCACACGCCAACCCACATGGTGGTGCTCAATGCGGTTGTGAACTTGGGACAACAGAGTATACATTTGCCCCCGTCACCATCACCAGAAAGTTCCATATTAAAATAAGTAACTTCATTTAGCGACGTTCTCTCCTAATTTATGATGATATTTTATTTGCCAGTCAAAATGTTGAGATCTCACCTCAAGAAGGTCAAACATCTACAGTCTAATCATGTCATCGAAGTCACTCGTTTTCATATGAAAAGAAAGGTGAACATACAATTGATTACTTAAACTATCTACTGTCCGCAGTCAGGTTTCGCAGAGGTACCGGCTCAACGCGAAGCCCTATTCCCTAATTTGACACCACAGTGGATAATAGTGTCTTAGTATTAACCCCTTGTGAAAATGCTTTAGACTATTTAACTGAACTGAGAAATCATGTAATCGTCCTTAAAAACGCAGTGAGAGACATCTTACATCAGGAGAGAGTAAGGTGCTTAAGTGCCTGTGTCTTTATTGCACAAGATTTATTCGAGTTAAGCAGCTTGATGGAGGCTGGAACAAACAATAGCTTCAAGCGACTGCTTTTACAATTTGGCACACGGTGTCTTCCCGATGGTAGAGGTTGAAATTCAGAAAACAGAAGCTGTTGAGAATATGCAATGATTTCTGTCGCTTGTTTCATTGCCGCGTCCTTGTTCGGGTTTATAGTCTTTCTTTTTTCCCCCCATTGCTGTTTGCTGCCTGATTGCAACCTGTTTGATTGCGTGGCCGTGTTGCTCCCTCAGATCTCAGCAATTAAGATGGCGAGCGAGACCCCGTTTTCACCAGAGATGTGGATGGATATCTGGATGAGGCGAAAGCCACGTTAATGCAATCAGGTTGCAATCGTTCCGTCGACATCTGGAGGGCGCGTGGTTCATATGTTATCAGATCCTGGCTGGATCTTTACGTAACGGTTTGTGGAGAGACTTTTATAAGGCATTTAGAGGTCTTGTGATGTTTTAGTTGAAATGTGCATTCTTTCTGTAATGTTGGCTTGAGTGGAGGTGTTGATAACGAGAACAATGCACAGAATGAGCCGGTTTGAACAGGAAGAACATTTTGTTTGTGACGTCCCGCGAGTGAGGAGATCTCTTGTACTTGAACTTGTGGTGTATTTGAACCGGTAGTTCGAGCTTGTTAAATTGCTTGTTTTGGGGTTTTAGGGCTTAGTCCAACCCCACCGTGTCTCCTTGTCCTCTGCCCAATCCTGCTGCAGTGCATTCAGGTATGTGGCTGTGGTTCCGTCGGTGACAAACGGCTCATCTGGTACTTTATACCAATATTTTAACAAACAACAATTTTCTACATTTAGTAGGATTGGGGCCTCCCAGGTTGTAAAAGCAAAAGTCTGTGATCAGACATCATTGACTTGATGTATACATTCATTCATATATGTGGATGAAAATGTTACTGCAAATCATTTTTTGATAACCTTCCTATAGCATGCTCAACACAAGTAGAAGAACTCATTTATTATAACGATAACTTCTCACACGCCCCGTTGAACAAGGTTAAGTTGCAGCGGAGGGGAAACATTGGCCAGCAGCGATGTCCTCTATTTAGGATCAGACAACCAAATACTTATATACTGATATACTGATATTTCCTGTTGATCCCAGAACAGCCCGTACACAGACGTATGGACGCGTTTGAAGCAGCCGCTCAGTAATATTCAATGTTTACATAGGTGCACACGGTGTGTGAGCAGGTTAGAGTATTGGAGGTCTGTGGGTCTACCAAAAGTGTGTGTGTGTGTAAACATCGCTGACATCACATCGTGCAATTTTACAGTAAACACTGGACGGGATGCCAGATGATCACACGCGGATCTTTATTTCTAAGCCTCATCTCAGCGGTTCATAGTTTCTCACTTTTATTTTTATGCCGAAAGATCAGCATTGGTCGGCATCCCTGATGAGCCTCCTGCAAATGTGGTTAGCCGGCATTGCGTAACCGTGGCAACGTGGGCAGGTGGCTCTCATAATGCAATGTCTCCGCCCAACCCGGAGGGGCCATTTGCGAGGGGTCTGCCGATCAGATTACACGGCCCCGGGTCGCATCGCAACACGACGGACACACATCTGGCCGCCTGATCACATTGGGAAGCTTCTACAAATGCTACGGCGAATGTCACCTGCTGTCATGCCCCAAAGAAACAAGGTTTTCTACGAGGTATGCCAAGATAAATTATTCTGGAGCAACTCAATTAAACTTTTTGTGTTTTTTTTTTGTCTTTCTCTCCACTTTTCTCCCTCTCCCTTGGCCTCCAACCTCCTCGTTTCATTTCAGGGAAAATACGGAAAGAGGAAGAGCCGATTTAAGCGCTCGGATGGAAGCACCTCCTCTGACACCACCTCCAACAGCTTTGTCCGACAGGTAACATTTCACACTTAATCCTTCCTCCAGACTACTAATCCGGGTGATCTCCAGGTTCATTTCATTTAATGAAAAATCGCATGAAAGTTTAATGTCAACGTGAGGTCTTTTAATGCTGGGAATTAAGCCGCTCCATGAGGACAGTGGTTTCTTCTTTATTTATTTATTTTTCCCTCAAAAATGTTTCATTAGCTGAAATAATTAGATAATTCTTCGATTAGTTGTTCATCGATCAGTGCCGTCAGAAGCATGCACACAGGCGGCAACAAATAACAACAACACAAGTACTTTCCCCACCTTTTGATAAGGGGGAGAACTCTCTTCCTCTCCTGTCGCCTGTGTGTTTGTCTCAAGCAGCCCACACACTGTGTAGTTCCTGCGACACGGAATTGGCTTTGATATCACTCGCTGGAGAAAAGGGTCAAAGCCCCTGCGACTGCAGCCACGCGCCTTGCTGTACCGTCACAGAGTTGCAGCCAAGAGACATCGGCACGGATTCCTCCAGGGAGCGTGGTTGTAATTATCAGTCCCCAGGTGTGGTGACTCAGCCCCACACCACTGCACCGTGACCCTGCCTCGCCCCCGGTCTGTGGCCGTGGGTGCAATGTGAAAGCTCTTGATCAGACGGGAGCGCTTCCTCCCCCCCGGGGGGAGTCTAGGTTAAAGCGTGCGCACCCCCGTCTGGACAGTTTTCCCAAGCAGGTAAACGAGTCCCTCTGTCTTAACGCCTCGTTTTTCAGAGGAGATTATTTGGGCGCTTTCGCTGAATGACATTCGCCCGTTCAATAAGGGCGTTTGCTTCCGACAAAAAACGAAGAAAAAACCCCCGAATACGCCTGGTCGCTGTTGGTGTACAACTCTCCCGTGGTTTCTAAAGGTTAGCCGCATCCTCGCCCACACACATCACCCTTCGCACTGTCTTCTTCTTCATTAACTCTGCAACGCTGCTCGCCGAAGGACCGCGTGACCTGCGGCGGGTAAGGTTAGAGGCGATTCATAATCTCACACACGCTTTATAAGGAACTCATTACCCGAACCAAAAATAGATTTAGTCACTAAAGTATCTAAATGTTACGTTATTTTATCGCGGACTGTCAAACCGTAGTACGGTTTGAAAAGCTGCCCTTTTTCAGACAATGAGAAGGATGGAGCCTTTTTTAGCCTCGCCTCGAACGACGCAAAGCGGAGCCCTGTATAGGCTTTACAGTCTCACACACACCTACGCAAGCGCTAGGCTCACTCACCACACACACACTCACTCACACACACGCACACATAAACACACAAAAGCCACAATCAGCCAACGGTAGAGCTGGCTGGTACACTCGGCCTGGTTTCCATGGCAACCGGGCCACTGAATCTCCCTCTGAGCAGCCACAGTGGGATGGAGAGACGGAGGGGAGGATGTTTGGATGGTGTGTGTGTGTGTGTGTGTGTGTGTGTGCGCGTGTGTGTGGGGGAGCAGCCTACGTGTTAGTGCAATGCTGGTTTTGTGTATTGGTTTCAACGAAAACACCATTAGCGACTGTCTGCTGCTGCATGCAATAACTACTATGTATGCTGACGTTGCAGCTGTTTAAGTATGTGGTGGAAAAACATTTTTTTTGGTTTAAATTTGCTATCTTAGAAATTGTATTTATGGAGCAACTCTGTGTATAAATGACATGTGTGGTCTTGCAACCACGTCATTCATACAATGAACAAATGGCGGAGGCTGCCAAATAAGGTGCCAACTGCTCATCAGGATCTAATCTAATCATTCACACACACTTGCATGTATCACAGCTTTTGGCTGTAATTGGGGGGGTTCAGTATCTTACTTCAACATGCAGAGAAGCCAGAGATAAAACTTCCGATTAAATGGAGGCTCTCTATTAATGCAACAAAAATAAACCTGAATTATTTACTTTTCTGCCTATTGTGCTTCATCCTAATCGGCCAGGCCTTTGTAGGTTTTTGTACAAGGTTTAAATTCTCAAACACGCCTTCGCAAGAGCCGGCTCACACGCGCATATGCTAAGCGCTGCATCGACATCAGATCTAATTCGACACCCGGCACGTTTTTCTTGAGCTATCCATGTGAAAATAAATATACACTGGGATGGTCATTGATATATTTCAAAGATTATAACGGCTCAAGGTTTGACATTTTGTGGTACGCCGTGGCCATATTACGGAACGAAATGGAGCCCTGAATGCAGAGTGACAAATCACAGTGTAGTATTGGACAGTCTCAATTGCCAGGCGAGTGTTTCACTTCATACACTGTGATCCGTAGGCTTTAGCCTCTATCTTTTTATTTTTGTTTCACTGCTGAATCCCTTTGACATCCTGGATAAATCATTCAAAGGCATGTTGTCGGCCCTTATGGCTTCTTCTCTCTGAAAGTAGCTTTTGCCGTGCAGTTGGTGACCGTGTGGGGTCAATGGTGGCGTAGTGAATGGTCTATTGGCTCCATCATTTGATACCAACAATTCTCTTTTCTAGTAAACCGCAGCAGTGCATCGTCTCTTTTTCAAACATGCATGTAAAAAGCTACTGAAGAATAATTGGATGATTGACTTTAGGGTTTTATCTCTGGCTTTGTATAACGCATCAACTGAATGTGTGATCTTTAGGGCGCTACTCTAAAATGTGGAGGATTAAATTTGCATACAGCAAACAACAGTTTATGTCAAATCTGTTCATCAGTTCAAACGCTGATATTTTGGTGCCATTTGCAATGTCCCTTGTGCCCTTTTCCCTACATTCAATGCAACCTGCAATCTGCCACAGATTTGCTCTTAAACGTTGATTTGTGGTGTCACTACTTGAAATCGTAGTTGACGTTGTTCCCAATCTCTCATGTTAAAAATATATAAAATACAAACCTTTCTGCATGTATTAAAAATATATTTAAGTTTACAACTAAGATGCTTGTTTTAAGGCTCTTCACCCTCTCATGATACAGACCACTGACAATATATTTTACCCAGCAAACATTGACTATTTCTACCACCAGAATACCAAGAACCATCCCCCCCAATGCTCCACAGACCAGATTGTGTCTTGTCTTAGCTGGCAGGAAAGGTTTCGAGGGTCTGGATGCTGCAAAGAGACAAGCTGTCCCCCTGTCAGTGCTGACACCAGAATCCCAGCAGAGTCCCAGTTACTGCTGGCTTTGACTGGCATGTCGGATCAACTGCTGGCAGCTCTCCATTTATTCACCTTCCCCAGGTGGTTGTGTTGTCATCCCGTACTTAGACAAGAGAGGAGGGGGCGGTCCGGCGTGTGGCCACAGAGAAGCAGCTGTAAATGGGTCAGAGGTCGCCCTCTAGTGCACTGGGCCCCCAAAACCAGCCCCCTCTACCAGCCCTCCCTGTGCAAGAAACACACCTCATCCCTAAATCCCGTGGAGAGCCGAACTATAACAACCCAAGTTTTTGATTTAAATGACTCAATATGGATTCTTTACACCTTTTTGGCATGTGATAACAGGGGTTACTTCTGTGTCAGCGTGATGTTTTAAAATGTCATCCTGAAAGGCCATCTTGATTGTGACGTGTCTCTATCGACGGCTGTCACTTGAAAAGTTGACGTCCATAAAGAACCAAGGGGAGCGTTTGTCTGTGGCGATGAGATGTGGAGCCCAGATTTGAACAGTGGATTGTCCGTCCCTGCCGGGTAGCTAACGATGGCAAGCGTGACGTCTGCGGTGCAGATGAATCAGTAATCGACGATTTAAAGGGGATACGTAGTTGACATGCGTACATACAAAATGTAGTTTATAACCAGGAACAGTATACAATTTATCCTGATGTGCTTGTTTAAATTCGCCGCACAGGGCATCTCCTCTATGTTGCACTTATACATAAATATAACTTGAATGAAATTTGAAGAAGCAACATTGGTATCTCATCTAAAACGAATGAAGTTGGGCGAACAAACCCCTCTGTCTCTCTGCCTATTTCAGAGACACAGAGGGGGCCAGAAGGAATGAGATCGGTTCAGAGACCCAGAGAGAGAGAAGGGAGGGGGGTTTCCCTGGACACTGCCCCAACCCTCTCCCACGTCAGTCAGGGCATTGAATGGCTGACGGCTGCATACCGAGCCCCCTTCTGGGTCTCGGTGCGTTCATGTCCCTGTTTCTGCCCCGGCCGGGGCTAAATATATTTCCCCACTTTGCAAATGTAGCACAAGTCCTGCAACCCGACCCCTGCCGGTCAGCTTCAGCTCCCCTTCCTCTACTCAAGGGTCCCGTTCCTCTGGGTTGTGGAGGTGGGGTGTGTGTGTGTGTGTGTGTGTGTGTGTGTGTGTGTGTGTGAAGGAGTTGGAGGTTAAGAGAGCGCTCTCTTCTAACACACATACATGCACACACACACACGTACCTTTCTGCACTCAGGCTAACAGACACTGCTAACTGCTATCTCTGTCACACTCACACACACACTCACACTCTGTCTGTGGACCCCTCCGTTTGCCTTGGTGTGGCGAGGAAGGAAGGCAGCATGGAGAGGACGGAGAGGATTCAGAGGCCCGCCATGGTAAGAAGGATTCTTTTGGCAGCGTCTGACGTGCAAGTTTCTCTGTGAGCGTGTGGATACGGATGGAGTTTTGAAAGTTCGGCTCCGAGACCTTGACGGGGGAGCACAACTCGCCGGCCGCGTCCCGATAGCGCTCCACCGCCCGGTCCGCGGCTTTCTTTGGTCTTCTCGGCGCGTTTCCCATTTTGGGCCGGGCCACAGCTGCTGGGAAGGCGCTGGGTTTTTAATTAGACTTCCAGTCGCAGCAGTTGCCTCCGCTGCATGTGCGGCCGCCGCAGCGCTGTGGGCACTGCTGGGCCCCCGTCACAGAGAGGGGCCTCGCTGGATCTTCATTCGTGTTTGCTTTACAATTTACCATTTTGTGTTGTACTAATTATTGCATTTGGCGCTAATTTTCCATGGATTCGTATTGGGATAATAGAGGTTGCAAATTGGTGGTAATACTAATTTGTCTGTTCTTCTAGTTTGTAAAGTGAGAGAAAACCCAGAGAAATATCTATGACTCGGTGGTTCACAGAGTCCAAAGTGGTGTCTTCAAATTGCTTTATACATCTCAGCTAACAGTTGGAAAGCCAAAGATATTTAATTCATTATCATAGAAATTAAAGAACCAGAAAATCCTAAAAGTTGTGTGCATTTATCTTGGACTGATTCCCTCGAACAATCTAGGGATTATCAAAATTCTTGATTATTGATGGATCATGATGATGAGATCATACAATTGTTTATCAGACGCTGTTGCCCAAATTAAGACAAAATTATTACTTTTTAAAAATGAATACATAACAGTTGAACACAGTTTGTTCTATTGACTTTTATTTCAGTCACTTTATATTTTGGACTCAACAATTGTTTCATTATCAATAAATATGCATGTATGTCTATAAAATATGTGTAATAAGTGTGCATTGCATTTACCCAGGCCAGTTTAAGACACTAGCAAATGTTCACATTGAAAAGGACATCCATTACAAATTAATTATCAAAACAAAATCTTATGATTTACAATTGATTGGGTAATTATTTGAGCGGTGCTTCATAAGAGATTTTGCATGGTGAAGCAGGTTTTGGACCCCTCTAATTTTGGAGTATCCACCAACTTGTATTTTCCCACTTCATCACACTTCTTCAAGTTTGAAAATGATATTCGTGTTCATTGCCAGATTCTTACACACACTTTAATGTCATGTTAGCAGCTCCTTGTGTTAACTTAAAATTACACATGCAATTACAAGAAGAAGGTTGACATATATTATTAAAAGGAGCTCTGTAGGGAAAAACATATTCTATTCACCTCAAATCGGATATTAAGTAAATATTGTGTTGTTGTTGTTGTGTCAGTAATAGTAGAAAAGTACACAGCCCGAATATTGACTAAAAAACAATCAGCTACACGTCTAGTTTCCTTGTGCAATCAGGAAGATTGACTGAAATAAATCTAGAAGGCGCACTTTGGTATTGGTCTTTGTTTTGCTTGTATTTGTGTTGTATTTCTGGTGAGTTCAGTCCCTGATTCATCTTTTCAGTCTTTTATGGCCAAAAAGCAGTTTGGCCATTTACAGCCACCGGCCTTATGTGTCTGACTGGACTTCTCTCCTTTGTGATTCTTCACTTGCCTCCGTCTGGCGGTTCTGTGAGACGTATTCCTCCTTTTCCTCCTTCTGACTTTACATGATATTTTGTGGGCCTCTGAGATATTTGACATGGGGCACGAGGAGATAAAGCAAATAAGACGATTATATTTAATGTTCTCTCTTTTCCTTCTTTATTGTTGTCACATTATCTAAGCTAAAGAGTGTGAATATATTTGTATCTATTTAATGAGGGGGTTGCTGTACGTGTTATCGCTTCTTTGTGTGACAACACTTGCAATGTTCCTGTTGTTTATGGAAGCGGCATATTAAAATCTTTGACCTCTTCCCCCGCTATCTGTCACAAGATAAGACGTAAGACGCAAAGAGGTGACAACTTCCTTTGTTTCTATAGACATATTAAACAGAGGAAACTAATCCGATTGTCATGCTGGTTCAGTATTTTCATGATAATCTCTATATAGGTATATCCTAACAGATCATTTTTACATCAACTAACTTTTGTTGAAACTCTTTTGTTGTGCCGTTGCATCAAAAGAAACAATGCTAACTGATTTCCATTCAGTGGGGAAACTGTTCTTCAACACTCATTATTTAACGCACTCCTCTCTTGCCGGCCTCACTCCTTATTCAATTATTCCCCCTACACTCTGTTGCTTATTTTTTCCCTCTATCTATTTGTCCAATAGCAAATACTAAGGAGCTGCAAAGGGATCACAGCAGCCACCGTGCAGAAAATAAGGAGGAAACACAGGTGGTTGATTTTCAGGATGATTACTGAGCTTCACCGCTGTATTTTATTCTTTCTTAAATTGTCCGTGGTGACAACGCAGTATATTTTGGATATGAAGAAAAGTTTCTGTTGTGTACTCCTGTAAAACATGGATATTTACCTTTCAGTAAAAGAACATGACATAACACCTTAAGGCCACGATCTTTTATGTAGTTATTCCTGTGTTATCCTTCAGGCACTGAGCTCACAGCTTTAACTGCGTAACCACGGGAGAAAACCATTGATCACCTGTTAAAAAGCTTTGATGCAATTTCCCCGCTGTTTCCCTTCAGGGTCATTTATTTACTATTTGATTGCTATATCCTCTCTTTATCTCCTTCCAGAGGCCGTTCTCACAGGCTGCCTGTTTTGTGCTGCGGGAACGGTTACTATGACACTGCGAGGGTCTCTCGCCTGCCGCTGCCAATAGGACAGAAGCTCTGACATCAGGTGGCCTGTAGCTATTTTGAACAGGAGCTGCATGTGAAGTGAAGCAAGCAGCTAAATTAGAGACACAACCCAGTGACAGGAGAATAAGGAGAGAGGGAAGGAAAGGTGGAGGAAATGTGTTCGGTGTCTCGCTCAGTCTACGTACCGGAGAGAAACGGCGGCACTTTTATCAAAACACATCAAATATTGGCCGTTGTGTCCGTGCGAATGAAACCATCAATTCTCCTCCTCTGCTCTCTTTTCCCCCTCTGGTATTGTGTGACGTGAATCAACTGGATGAGTGACTCACAGAAGCGCTTGACCGCACACAGAGATCTACACACACACACACAGTATTTCCTCCCACTCTCTCGCTCAACATTTTGCTGCATCACCGACCTGTTGTAGTGAGCCAGCTGGTCTCAGGTTATTCCAGACGTCATTTTGTCTCCTTTTTTTTTTCCCTCTTTGAAACATTCCCGTGGGTTCCCCATCGGGGTTTTGTTAACCTTCACTTAGTCAGTGCTCCGTGTTGGGATGCACTTGTGTGATTTAGGGGATGACTCACAGCTGGTAAGTGGAGGCCGGCTGTTGTTGTCCTCATCAGACGCTTGCGTGCTGCTCGCCGGATTGTACCTCCTACCTGAGTGTGATGCCGGGGTTTACGTTCGGCTAACTGAAACAGGAAGTGAGGGTGGGTTGGTGGAATGCCCGAGGACACGGGGAGTAATTAGCCATTGCCGTGGAAACGGGGAGTGTCCACATTCAGTGTCACTTAGCTCCTAGGAACAGATGGCCGAGCTGGAATCGACATTTGTGTTTTTGTTTCGTTTTAAATCCCTTCAATTGTCCACATATGAGCGGATGTATTTAGGATCCGCGTGTATGTTTAGACTTTTAGATTCACGTGGTGTTTTCTCATGGACTATTTGAGCTTTACTTACTTTCTTTTTACTTTTCAAAATCAAACCAGGGGTGTTGTCATTTTATGGTAGGAGTCATAACCACAAGGCCACCTGTATATCTAATGTTCTCTTTTCTTCTTTTAAAATGAGAAATATTTGCTGTCAAACAAATTGAAACGACCGCAAGTCTGTAGCAAGAAGCCACGAGTGCAGAGTAGAGCTTTGTATCAAAGCTCAGTAGTTAAGAGTGCTGCACTCACCTGGTATTGCACAAAGAATTTGGTTCTTAGGAGTTTTTACCTTTTCATTTGATCTGCGATCATTTTTGTCATTTAAGACAAAAAAGGGGTTTGGACATGTTTGTAGTTATTTATATTCCAAACTTAGTCATCAAAAATGGCTGATATCGAAAAATGTTTGTTATTTGTTGTCACCGTTGTGTCTCACCGAGTACACTTGTGTGTCTGACTACAATCGTTCATCATCGTTTCATATGGTGTGTGTCATCTTTGTGTTTTCTCACCTCTATTTTAAAAGCCCGCACCTAGTGACTCACTTCTTCTGCCTGGCACATTCAGCTGTCCGCATTCTTGTCAGCGCCTCCTACAAAGCGGCAGGCAGCTTGTCAGCAGAAAAAAAAAAATACAGCAAGAAGAGAATAAATGGGATCGTTATATAAGTTGAACACTCCAGTAGTTCGGATCTCCTCCCCTCGCTGCGCGGCTCAGCCGTACAGTGAGCCGGCGCCGCAGGGGGCTCGGGTTTGTGTGTATCGCGGTATGAATGTCTGGATGAGGGTCAGCAGCGTGGAGTCAAGTTACCGTGCATGAGTGATGGAAACCGCAGCCACTTCATGGGAAATGTATACACCCCCCCTCCCCCCTAATATTATGAACAGTCCTCAGGCTACTTTTATCCCTACTTCTGTCTGTCCCTACTTGACACACCCACACACCAAATCTGTTTTACCTGTGTGAAAAGGCTTCGCACCTCGGCCTCGCTGAAGCTGCTCGTGCGTCCTCTCCACCTCAACTTACAGTCGGCCCTCATGCGGCGTGAAGGCACAGGCCCCTCTTTGGTGTCTCTGTAGGTTACGCTTCTCGAGGCAGTCTTGATATTTTGACAACGGATAAATCGGAATGGCGGAGCCACAAACGTCTCAGGCCGAGAAAAGGGAATTTGAAACAGGAGAACGACAGGAAACCTTGAACGCGAAGAGGGGTCGCCGACAGCAGACATTCAGAGACGTACAAACCCAGACATCGTTAAGCACGTCCCGCAATCTCACAATCTGTTTTGCTCCCTCAGGGGTTGAGTCGTGGACATCTGGTCCCTTTCCCCATCCTCACCTTTATTTAAACTCGTCATGCGTTCCAGGGCTCTGCAGACTCCTACACCAGCCGGCCATCGGACTCAGACGTGTCCCTGGAGGAGGACCCCGAGGCCCTGAGGAAAGAGGCCGACAGACAGGCCCTCGCCACGCTTGAGAAGGCAAAGGTCAGAGTCCAACTGCTCCATCTCCGCTATGTCACTCGTCTTGCACAGTGTGAGGCATCCATATTGCAGCATTTTCACATCAGTGTAAAGTATTTTAACACCGCTGGACTCTCTATCATCAGTGTCAAGGGGAGGCTGTACTCAGAGTTGGGGGTGGTCGTTGTCTTTCTTTATATTAACGTCTGCCCACTGCTGCAGACAAAACCGGTGGCATTCGCCGTGCGGACAAACGTGGGTTACAACCCGGGTCCCAGTGATGAGGTTCCTGTGCAGGGCATGGCCATATCCTTCGAAGCCAAAGACTTCTTGCACATTAAAGAGGTATGTGGCATTCCAGAGCTGTGGTTGTGGTCTCTAGTACATGCAGTATATGTGTGCGACTGCCTGCGTCTCATCGGTTCCGGATGTCCGCCTGCATGCAGAAATATAACAATGACTGGTGGATCGGACGCCTGGTGAAGGAGGGCTGCGAGGTGGGCTTCATCCCCAGCCCGGTCAAACTGGAGAACACCCGTCTGCTGCACGAGCAGAAGATGAGACAAAACCGACTCAGCTCCAGGTAACCGCGAAAACCCCTCAACAGCCACAGCGCCACAAATGACAACCCAGCATTTTGAAACAGGGATTCGATATGAGATCTGCAGTGTGAGCGCTCCTAACACTGCCTTTTTTAAACCCAATTTTCTTCAATAGTTTTTTCTTAATGCTACAAGAAGCTCACCATGTCTTCTGCAAATTATCATGATCAGTGTCCTATTGCACATGGGCACCTAAAAATTGATAATGTATTATATAATAGGATAAGAATTTCTTGTTAGAAAATATTGTCTTTCTTTCTTTCCAATTTCAGTAAATCTGGAGGAAGCTCCAGTTTGGACGTTGCCACGGGAACCCGCAGGCCCACCCCACCTGGCACAGGTGAGGTCGAGGGGATCTCCCTGTTGACTGGCAAAACGGCGACTCTCTCTCTGTGGGTGTTGGCGCAACCCTGACGGAGCGAGAAAGGGATTCGACCGGCGCCTGATATTTCGCTGAATGTTTTAATTAGTTAGTCGGGCATGGCGATGAATCACGCCGCTCCTCCGTGGGTTGCTGTGTGAAGTGAGAGGGATCTCAGGTCTGTCATTTGCACACAGGACGGGACTGAAATAGAGCTGAGAATGGACAGCTCTCATTAAAATTGACAAGTATGTCTGGCTTGTGTGTGTGTGTGTGTGCGTCGCCGATTTGCCAAGACGTCACAGAGCTGCTTCTCCATATGCAGAGAAACAGCAGAAAAGAGGAAAATGCGAATTCGGGTGAGAAAGTATTCTTTTGCAAATCAAATGCAGCCACTGAACTCAATACTTAGTATAATAGACACGGCATCTAATTCACCTGGTACCTCCTTCAGTAAGATCTATTTTTAAGGGTCCTTTTGAAACTTGTGTTACACGACTCTTATAAAGAGTATATAAGTAACATTTTCAGGTCCACAATAGCTACGATCAAATGAAGCTCATTTGGGTTTAGCCAAGAGAATGTACATTCCTGGGGTCCACAAAGTCAATTTCCAACTCATTGTCAATGGAGCAGCTCCAACCTTTATACTTTTTCTTTCTGGTTTCTGGAGAGAGCAGCTCATGAATGTGGTTTGTGCCTCCCTGGGCCATGGAAAGAGAACGCTGTAATTTATCATGTAGGTGGTGTTCCCCTTTTAAAGCAACATTTTGACATATTGAGAAATGCCCTAATTAGTCTCCTGGCCGGAGAGTTAGACGATCAATGATACTTTCATGAGCTCGTTTAATAGTTTGGCTCTGACAGGGTTCTGTTCAAAGGGAATAAAACCCATCTATCAACACCTGGTTAGCGGTTTTAAAATGTTCCGTCTTTGTGCTAAGCTAAGACAACAAGCTGTAGCTCCATCGAGGCAAATGGTATCATTCACTGATCTCTCAACTCCAGGCAAGAAAGCGAGACGTTTCATCCCAACATCTAGAATGACTCCTTTAAACCAAAACCTGTGCGTGCCGACCGCACAGGCATCACCAACAATCATCCCCACAAACACTCGATTCAAAACCCCAACTTTCCTCTCAGATTGATTCCTTCTTTTCTATCTCCTACTTCTCTCCAGTTTCTTCTGCAGCAGCTCTTTTACACACATCCATTTCTCGTCACACTGAACCTGCTGCTCTCTGTTCATGTTATTATACCTCACATCCGTGCTGTCCTTCATGGTAATCTGCTGTGTTCTATTTTTTTTTTTAAACTTCTGTCACTGTTGTTTCCGGTTTAAATCTTACAATGCCACCTTTTTGATCTCAGTAAATGTCATCTTCTGCAATGTCCTCCATGCCTCTTTCTGGATGCATCTATTCATGCTTCTATTTCCTCTTCCCCTTTTGCCCTTCTATTATTTCCTCTTCCTCTGTCACTTTGCCTTGTCCCTCTCCTCCTCCTCCTCGTCTGTCTGACCTGTCTCTCTCCCTCTCTCCGCACCACCCGCCCCGACCCCTCATCAGCTCACATGGACATGTCCACTGTGGCCTTTGACGTTGACCCACTCGACCTGGAGGCCGAGGAGCCCCCTGAGTCCCAGGGTGACCCTCGCTCCACCAAGGGCATGTCAGGCAGCGTAACGTCCCCTCAGGCCAACGCCCACCGACTGCCCTTCTTTAAGAAGGTAACCTCAGGGGCCGTAGATAACTTGCCCACCTCTGCCGGCCTCTCCACCGCGTTTGTCCCTCGCTCGTCCACGGGGATGGGCTCCGGCCTAATCTCGCCCTCGCCCTCCCACTAACTGCTCACAACCGTTGCTGCCGCTAACGCAGTTCTCCAATCTAACACTGCTGGGGCTCCGGGCCGCGACGGTTGCGCTGACGTCCGTTTGAGTGTTTGTTTCTGTGCTTGTCAGCTGCGCCTTGAGCGAACCGATCTGACTCTGAAATGGCAGCTGCAGCATATGCGTTTTGATCTGTTTTTAAAGGGGGAGGGGTACCGGTCAACAGCTCTTCTGCCCACTAACCTAACCTGTCAATAACCGAATGTGCTCTTGTGTTTTGTGCTTCTTCTGGCTTTTGTGTGTGGAATGATGCCGTAGGCGGTCCGGCTAAACAGAAACAGAAGTCGGTGAGTGTGGTTTGTTCTCGATACTAACCTCTAACATTTCAACTTCCTCCTCCTCATCTTCTGTTGTGTCCCATGCTGCTTCTTGTGGCGGTAAGAAACCAGTGCAAATAATATTTTACCAGCACCGTGTAATATTCAAAGGATCATTTCCAGATCCAGGGGACACCTTTCGCATTTCCCCAGAGCTTCGATCACAGCCGCCAGAGTGCAGCTGCAGATCCGCCCGCACGCCGTCAGAGTGTAACAGCAACTCATCCTGACGTTCTCCCGGCGCCGTTCACCACAGCTAATTTGAGCTGACATTCGGCGTTTTCTTTATGCTTTTCAGCACAATTGGAATCACATGCAGGGTGAATGTGAATAAGAATATCTCAACATCGGCATTTTGTAACAACATATTAGTACCATTGAGTCAACAGCTTCTATGTTTACCTGACAGAACATCCTATTATGTGTGTATCCTCCTAGTACATCCTAGGGTACTGTGCGTTTTTTAATATCTCAGCTCTATTATTATTAGGAACTGAAATATATTTTCTTTTCTACATTGCCACTGCAGTTGCAGTATATCATAAAACAGACAGAGACAATAAACCGTAGTTTTGAACTATAAACCAGATCTTTATTCTGCACACCGCCCTGCCTGTTACTCACCACACTAAGTTGTGCACTATGCTCATTCTGTTCAAAACCAGTGAGCACTTTTATGTCGTGTTCGGTGCTCCAGCACAGTCCTTTTAGACACAAGAACCATTTGGAAACTTTAAAATGTATTATATTTAGCTTCTGCGAATACAAATGAGGCGAAATGAGCCTCCTCTGCTCTGCTTTATGTAATGTAATGGAGCGGGCCACTCGAGCACTATCCCCTGCCTGAAGAGCTGCACAGCACACATGGAGGTGGAGACGTGCTTGAAATACAGAACAAAAAAATGAAATACATCCAATTTGATTGTTTACAAGGTATGTAGCACATGCGACTGTCTCCCTCACCCGTGTCCAAAGAGCTTAAAGGCTTATGGATTCCTTATGGTTGAATCATTCCCTTCCTGATTCATAGTGCAGGAATAAGTCTCAAGTTCAGGAGCTGCAAAATGGGTCGTGTTTGTGTGTGGGTGTTTTTTTTCAATGTAAATGTCTTTAAAAAGCCACCACTCTAGGAACAGTTTCTTTATATTCTGAAAGATTTCTGAAAATAGGACAGACAATAAATAATTGGGACACGAAGAACACTGTGTAAATGGGTGAATTAAAGCTGGGACAGAAATGCCTGCATGCAAAACGGTTTATTATTGTAACTTTCTAACATAATCGGGACATATTGGACTTGGTTGAAGCACGAAAGAAAGAAAAACTGCATTTTCACCATAAAAAGCAAATTCTGCCAGTAACAACTTGTTAAAAAATCTGGTTTATGGACACTTTGATTATGAAAGAGGGCAGAACTACAGTGCCATTCAATGCGAAATGGATCCGCTTCCCTTAACATTCATATGAAGTCAATTAAACCTGGACTCCATGCAGCTGAAACTCACCATCCGCTCATAGACATGAAGAAAGGGGTCCGGGTGTTGAGTAAATGTTGATTTATGAGCGTAGCAGCTTCGCTCACCGCAATGTTGGTGCCGTCTCATCCCGGTCCAGATGGAGCACGTTCCCCCCTATGACGTGGTTCCCTCCATGAGACCCATCATCCTGGTGGGACCGTCACTTAAAGGATACGAGGTAACGAGAAGTACTCGCCACACCTACTCGTTTAAAACGTCCAATTTTTTAATAATTTCTTTGGTGTTAACACCCGGCGTTTTGTCTTCAGGTGACAGACATGATGCAGAAAGCACTCTTTGACTTTCTGAAACACAAGTTTGAGGGCAGGTAGGAATGAGATCACCTGCTGTGCACTGTAGGCTCTGCTGTAACCGGCTTCTGTTTCCTGACCCTCTAACCCTCCCTTTCAGGATATCCATCACGCGGGTGACAGCGGACATCTCCCTGGCCAAACGCTCGGTCCTCAACAACCCCAGCAAACACACCATCATTGAGCGCTCGAGTACCCGCTCCAGCCTGGGTAAGATAACATACGCCCGCTTCCGACCTGCAGCGAAGCACAAACAAAGAAAACTAGTCTTCAGAGAATAAGCTCTTGTTTTGGATAAAGTCATCTTTTTTTTCAATCTTTTTTTTCATCACATCTTGTTGCTAAACATCCATTTAAATTTAAGTTTCATTATTTGTATTTCATATATTTGTTAGAGGTGTTTTGAAGTACAATATCAAAAAAGTATGTGGGTTTTTTGTCTTTTGGACATACTCGCGCTCAGTGAATTAAATGTAAAAAAGCCTGCAGGGAATTTTCCACAGATTTGACAAAAACATCCAGCAGGACTCAAGTATGAGTTGAAATTTTGGGCCATGACTGATAAATTTTAATGCTACTTGAATAATTGATGTCATGTGTACAACAGGACAGAATTATTAAGTGATGACATTTTGAACTATACCTTGACAATCTCGTTCCATGTTCATAGAACACGTAGGTAGGTCCTGCAAAGAAAGTCAGAATTCCTCCCATTTTATAGTCTAATCTGGATCACTTCTTTTTCTTCATACTGTCTTTTCTGCCCTTCAACCGCTCATCCTTCGTTCTCTCCCACTTCCTGTCTTCTCCTCCCACTCTCTGTTGATTCAGACGCACTGGGTATGTATGCTCTTCTTGCCAACCAAACAATGAAGCCTCTCTGCTTCTTCTTCACCCTCCTCTTTTCTCCCCACTATATTCACCATCCACCCATGCATCGTTTGTCTGCCCGCCTGCTTGACTGTCAGTTCCTCTGTTCCTCATGCTTCTGTGTGACAGCTTGTAGTCTCTAATGAACACAAAGGAATGACAAAATCAAAGCTGAGAGACACTTGTGGGATGTTAGCAGGGCGGCTGCTGTCTTCTCTAAACTATGGGCAGGAATGAGCAGATATTTTTATTATGACCTACGTATGATCCTGTTCATATATTGCGTGTGTGCAATCATTCCCAAGGATGGAGCAGCTGGACCAGCAGCTTCATGCAACTCTGTCGAGTCGCGGCCGGCGAGCTAGTTTCTCTCTGCAGTCGAATCCAAATTGAAAAAAAAGTCCAAAGTCTATGTTGAGGTTAATGGAAACCTTACCAGGTGTTTCTTTTATATGAGCTGAAGTTTGCGTGTCTTATCACTCCGCAGAGCACTCTCCCGATTTTGCCTCCCATGCTTTAATCCTCAGCCCTCTGGAGGCTGCAGAAACGTGTGCAGGCCACTTCGTTCCAAAGATTGCTTTGCTTTGCCTTATCTCTCCCTGCCGCTGGGTAGCCAGCGCCCCCCCCCCCCCACCACACGGCTCAGAGGCGCTGAGGTTTGCCCAGACAGGCGAGGAACCGTCTGGTTTCTGGTCTTAATCTCTCTCCTTACACCTCAACAGGACGATTAAAAAAAAAACACCCAAAAAAACGGGTACACTGTGTTCAAAATGATAATTTGCGAGCTCTTATAGGCTGTAGTTGAGGAACGATGGATACAAAACACTGATTTCAGTGGCTCACCTGATTGGATAATTACTGACCTTTTAGCGCTAACAACAACTAATGCTCCACTTAATTTGTTTCAAGAGGTTTTTTTTTCCTGTTTTATTTACATGGTGAGAATTTGTGCTCTTTTTATTAGCAATTACAAGAGGCATTACATTCTTAAGTGCCTCCCCCTTTTAAAATAAAGAAGCTAAGAAACAAATATGGACATTTTAAATGTTGGGAGGTGGCAACAGAATGAGGATGCTCTATTGTTCCTTTTAGCTGTGCATAAATGGATGAATTAAACTGTAATCTAATCTAATTCATACGCAATTCATGAACAGTTATTGTTTTTCTCTTAAAATCGTAATCATGCATGTACTTCTGATATACCGTGCTGCATCTTCTCAAAGAGAGAGGTACTTTACGCTCCTTTTTCCCTTTTCGCTGTCGCGCTGTACTTATGTGTCTTATCTGTCCCCGGCCTTCAGCGGAGGTGCAGAGTGAGATAGAGCGCATCTTTGAGCTGGCACGCACCCTCCAGCTGGTTGCTCTGGATGCAGACACCATCAACCACCCCTCCCAGCTGGCTAAGACCTCCCTCGCTCCCATCATTGTCTACATCAAAATAGCCTCACCTAAGGTACGGCAACAGATGAACTTTGAGTTGCAGTCAGGAAGAGTTTCACATCTTATTGCTGACTAATAGTCCCCGGATTAAAAAGATGCTGTTGTTTCGCCGCAGGTCCTCCAGAGGCTCATCAAATCCAGGGGGAAGTCCCAGGCGAAACACTTAAACGTGCAGATGGTGGCCGCGGACAAGTTGGCCCAGTGCCCACCGGTGGGTTCTGCTTTTTGACCTCAGTGACGGAAGACGTAAAAGTCCGTAGAACTTCCAGAATTTGGTTTCCGTATAACTAACAAATATGTCATTTTGGTTATGTGCAGGAGTTATTCGACATCATCCTGGACGAGAACCAGTTGGAGGACGCCTGCGAACACCTGGCCGACTACCTGGAGGCGTACTGGAAGGCGACACACCCCCCGAGCAGCAACCCTCCCAACCCCCTGCTCAACCGCACCATGGCGACAGCGGCCCTGGCCGCCTCCCCTGAGCCCGTCTCCAACCTGCAGGTACAGGTGCTCACCTCCCTGCGCCGAAACCTGGATATGTGGCCCGACATGGAAAGTGCCGTAGCCAAAGAGGGGAAAGAGGAAGAACATGCTCTCTGAAGTCCGGCAGAAAGGCGGGCCGGGACTCGACGGCAACTCAACCTCACCCTCAACCCGGCAACCGGCTCTCTAAACACTGGAGGGAAAGTGCATTGAAACCCTGCTCGTGCTGTATATAGAAACACGTTCTCACGAAACACGCCTGACACATTATCGAAGCCAAAATTGACACACGTGAGCAGCTGGCTTTTACAGCACCCACAAGATTACGCATTAAGCTGTGAGAGCAGCTCCACTCCCACTGGACTCGAGGGGCAACCCATGAGGCCGACGTGGGGCCCCTCCATTTCGCAGTAATCAAGAGTAAAATGATATCTGCTGCCCCCCCTCCCTTTGGCTGTGTGGCCTCTTTTCTCCTGCACTTTCTCTTGTTCTTGGGAGGCTGAATCCAGTTTGCTGGACTCCTCCGTGTTGCCATGGTACTGCCCCTGAAAACAGCAAGCCGCGTCCGCCTCTTCAAACACAACCGCTAAGTTTGATGGAGGCTGCTGCTAATGCTCTGTCTGCTTGGGACTTTTCTCTCGTAATCATTTTAACAACACAGTGCTGATCAGTTGTGCCTCTATTCATAGGTTACTAAGGGCTACACAACATTTATTGCACGCACAACAAGAGTTGCACGCTGATATTTACGTTACCCCAGCTACAAAATTACACCAAATGGCAAAAGAATTGTTTTATAGCTCTTTCTACCTTCGTTTTTATAAGTATAAAGGCGGCGACACAACTCAAAGAGCATATAAGCCAATTGTATTTAAAAGCTGTTGGTATTTCTTAATTAACTTTCAGCACGATCCCCTGTGCTGCAGAGTTCAATTCATTACGTAGTCATATAATCCTCATATTGACATTTCTGCTTTTACGCCATAAGGTACATTTACCACAGGGTGGCGCTGTTGTAACGTTAGATTGGATCTGCTCGTTGAATAACTTATTTTTTGTGTTGGTGTTTGCTGGTAGTTATCAGGATTTTAAAAATCAATTCGGTTCATAGAACTAATCTCTTTGACTAATTTAATTATAGCTGTGTACGTTTGACTGCAATTGCGTGTGTGTGTGTGTGTGTGTGTGTGTGTGTGTGTGTGTGCGTGTGCATGTTATAAATGGATTGTTAGTCACGCACACTAATGTTTTGGATAACCACAGCTGGAACATCTGTCCGATGTTGTGGTCCTGCGTTGAATGCGCCGCCTCGTGCCGACGCCGCTGACTAACCACTCACAGTTTGGTTTTGCTCTGCTGTTTGTGTCCCCGCATGGTCGCTGTGTTGCATGGCCGTGGCTGCCTGCAGGGGCCGTACCTGGTGCACGGCGAGCAGAAGCTGGAAGGGCCCTTGACAGAGTGTGGCGGCAGCGGCACCCTGCATGACTATCAGACAGACACGGGAGGAAAACCCCACCACCAGCAGCAGCAGCAGCAGCAGCAGCAGCAGCAGCAGCAGCAGCAGCAAGCGTACCTGCGCTCCTCTCGTGGTCAGCTGAGGGGAGGAAGCGGCCGCGGACTGTCGAGGCAAGACACCTTTGACTCTGAGACGCAGGGCAGCCGGGACTCCGCGTACACCGAGGCCGGCGACTCCTGCATGGACATTGAGACCGACCCCTACGAGGAGCCCGAGCCGTACCGGGGCGGCAGCGGCGGCAGCCGCCTCCACCTGGCGCAGCATCACGGCAGACAGGCCTCCTGGGAAGATGAAGGCGCCGAGCCGGACCAGGAGAACCTCAACCACCCTGCGGTGCCGAGCCAGACGCAGGCGCACGGACGCGCCAAGCTGAGGGAGCGTTACTGCCAGGACCCCGTGGACACCGGGGCCAACATGAGCCGCAACAAGAACCAGGACGACTGGGGGAGGGACGTCTACATCCGCTGAACGGGCGCCTCAGCGCGGAGACGAGGAAGCTACCGACAGAGAGATGGGGGGAGTTGGTGGGAGGGGCGACCTCGGGGTTCAGGGTCAGAAGGAACAGAAATGTGGGTTTGGGGCCACAAGTGAATCTGTTTACATCCCAGTACAATCTATAGAAAAACATCGACTGCCAAATGCCATTCTCGTCGACTTCAAATCAGTTTAGTTATGTTTAGAAAAAATACTATTGGTCTGTTTTTGTTTTCTTTTACTAATACTGCATGAATATCATGGATTTCTATACTGACAGCACGAGGACAGTAATTGTTTCGATTGTGAATCTCTGATTGTGATCTGTATGACTCGATCTTTCCTTCAGTTGTAGAGCGCGGCGGCCGGTGGAGCCGTAGTCCGTCCTGTCTGTCCTCTGCAGTCTTAAACAGGGTCTAATGTCACCGTCCCGATGTACAGTGTCAGGGTTTCTCTTTACCTTAATCTCACTCAGTGCTCTTGGATATCTCCCCTGTACTGAGGTCCAGAAGTTATGAGTCTCTCGCCTCCACTTTCTAATCACCCAGACCTTAAAAAAAAAAAAGAAAAGCTGGTAGAGAAGCTGCCATATTTTAACACAACAATTTATTGATGTTGCTACACTCATGATAACAACGCACAGTGCACTCCAAAGACGTTTACTTCTTCCCTGACCCGGTTCAGCCGCTGTACCCGACTACACGTTTGACCCAGTCCTCCCGTTTCCGTTTCCACTCCGCAACCCCGAGGCACGTTTATTTCAAGAAAAACTCCAATCACAAGTGCCGGAATGTCTCGCCAAGCCACCACCGCCACGGTGGGACGTCTTAACCCGCGTGGCGCTCGTCGTCGTGCCATACCCGTGTCTCTCTCCGCGTCTCCTCGTGGCTACGCTGCACTGTAGCCCACGCTGTCGCTCCAGCACGTAGCTCATGTTGTTTTTCTTTGCACCAGCTTTGTTGTCGGTTTTTCAGGGCTAATGGTTATATAAAAAGTACTTGTGTGTGTGTGTGTGTGTGGTCAATCACTCCAAACTTCCACCCCAAACAGCTAGCTTGTCTGATATTAAATACCACTCTCTTCTTACACTTGATTTCTGACTCAATTGGTGTTGTTTTTTCCTGTGGACATTTGCAACTTTTTTTTGTTTTTTTTATTTTTATTTTAAATCTTCAGTTCTTGTGAGGTAGTGAGAGGACTATGAAGTGGGGGCGAGAAAGGGGGGGATTAGGATCAGCTGTGGTCATTACTCAGTTATCTATAATGGAGAATCCATGAATGTCTTCGGTAGGCTGCTTTCGCCCGCCTGTCTTCAGTTGACTAAATACATATTAAATAATGATCAGTAAATAATGTTATTGTTGCGTTATCGCAATTGTTAAAAATATGAGATAACATGTATCATTGGTGCCTGATTGTAGCTACGTTTTGCTTTTTCTGCCTTTCCTTTTTAATCTGTGGATAAATTCGTATTTTAATTAAAAATTTAATCAAAAAATGCAATTGTGTCATTTAATTAATGCAACGAGATGGGAAGGCAAATTCATAAGATGCTAAATCTGTACTTGTTCATCTTTATATTTATTAGAGGTGTTGCCTTTTGTGTCTTGGTTCGATCTAATACAACGGAGTAAGCGTTTCATTACATTTTTTAAAAAGATGTCACACAATTACACAACACCACCAGTCTGGATGCCATGATGAGACCTTAACAGATGCCACATTGTTGCTTTTCATATATTATAAAATATAATATATTGAAAATTGATCAAATTTAATTCAAATTCCTCAAAGTATCCCGAAACATACATTTAGAACTCACATTTTTGTATCTAAAAAGGTAAAAACATGGAGGTTAAACTTCCAAACTCCAGCAAAAATATTAATAACAAATATAAAATAGCCTCATTATAGGCTGGGTTACTTTAGGTCATTTTCTAAAATCGGGGGTAAATAGTGTTGGAAATCCCAGTGGTTAAATAGAGTTGGAAATCCCAAGAGTTTCTCTTCATACCCGCTTTTGCTTTCGGTGTAGCTCATAATAAAGACGCGCGGTTCAGAGGAAGAACCAGAACACGGTAGCTTCACCTCTCTCTCCATATAAGGACCGGCCCGGCGCGTCACAAGCTGCGTCATCCGTCCACTCCTGTTCGTCCCCGTGACGAAGGAGCTTATGGTGCCTTCAAGTGCTCCTGAAAGAACTCCGACGTCTGAGTGCGGACAAAAGGGGACATCCAAATACAAAACAAATGGTCCGCAACTTTCATTAAAAAAAAAATGAAATCAACAGGCGGAAAGTAAATGGTAACACTTTACTTGAATGGGTGTTCATAAGGCTGACATAACATTGTCATAAGCATGACATGACAGCTGTCATAAATATCAATGAATACCTATGACAGTTGTCGTTAAGTGTCATTCGGTAAGTTATGTCACTTTTGATGCAAAGTTGACATTGTTTGAGATGTCCTTGTTATGACAACTTGACTTGATATTTATGACAGCTGTCATGTCATGCTTATGACAATGTTATGTCAGCCTTATGAACACCCATTCAAGTAAAGTGTTACCGAAAGGACTTATAATGATGTACACTTTTTTACAGTGTACATAATAATATCGTTTTTTTCTCTTTTTTTCAGATCACGAGATCCATAGTTAGAATTATAGAATCTCAACACCATGTTTTATGTTTGTTTTTTTACTGGATCAGAATATACTTATTGATCCCCCTGGGCCAATTTGTAAAATGATTAAAAGATTAAATAGATAAAACTATAAAATTGAATAGTTAGTTTACTTCTGAAAATGTCTAACTTGGTCCTTGCCCTTGAGGAGGTTGATACCATTTACAGGCAGTAATAATTGAGCTAAAGAATCTGAGCACACTGAACTGTTGCCTTGTGTGGTCTATGGAGAAAAACTTAATTGGGATGTGCTGTCGTGCAGGTTCTGCCCCACCCTGTCATTAATGGAGAAATTGAAGGTTGGGATTTCCGTGCACACATTCAGTACCTATAAAACTTTTGTAATTGAGAATGAAAACGTTTTACAGGCACAATATACAGTCTTCATGTGAGCTATCTATGCATACTGGGTTCAATTCAAATAATATGTAAGCTATCAATTATACCATATAACTGAGTAAGCCTATGGGTCCTCATTTAATCCCATTATAAAATATAGTGTGATTTCTATTACAAATCAGTTGCTAATCTGTGCTAAGGGCTAATTTTATTTTCGAAATGTAATGTTGCGGAACTAATTGTTGGACTGCGTAGCTTTCGCTACCCAACAACGCCGTGTTTCGGATCCCCACCGCACGTTCAGACGTTTTCCGCACAACACGTGAACGCACCGTAACTGTGCCCTTTGTACTTCTAGTGGACGCAAAAGGCGCCTCCCACCAACGCGATGCAGACGCACAAAAGCGGTATCAGATGAACGCATTGCTAAAGAGTTTCAGTCAGCAGATATCAGAACGTGAAGCGTGTCTCCTGGACTTTGCTTGTCCCCGCTGACACACACTTGTTGGACATGGGCTTTCTCCTGACCAAGATGATGGCGCTGTTCGGTGACAGAGGTGAGATGAAGTTCAATGTGTTGTGTATAAGATATTCGAGCAGCCTACCGTGAAACCGGGGAGGACTTTGGTTTAAAGTCCTCGTACGAAACCGAGTTCTGAGGGTGGACTGGTGGCGGAAAAAGTCTTTGTGGAGCCTTGAAAGACTGCAGTGGGTTCAGATGAGAACCACAACAAATCCACTTTGCACTGTAGCTGAATGATTGTAGCTGAATGATTTTCCACTTTCCTCCAGAGCACAAAGTCATCATTGTGGGTTTGGACAACGCTGGAAAGACCACTATCCTCTATCAGTTGTAAGTGATTGGGCAAAAAAACAACAACATACAACTGTAACACTTTGCTTCACATCTGTATTCACAATGTTCTTTCTGGTCCCTTCACACACACACAGTCTGACAAAGGAAGCCGTCCACACATCACCAACCATCGGCAGCAACGTGGAGGAGATCACTGTACGCAAGACACACTTCTTGGTTTGGGACATCGGGGGACAGGAGAGCCTTCGAGCCAGCTGGTACTCCTACTACTGCAACACAGAGGTACGGATCACTTCCTGTCTTCAGCTCAACATAAGAGCATTAAAGTATTTGATTAGTTAAAAATGCTTTATGCTTTTATTTTAAAATGCTTTTATCTGACGTTTTAAGTTTTGGGTTAAGTTGCTTTGTCTTGTTGATCCCCCGAGAAACCAGAAAAGACATCTTTCAGAGCTCAGAATGAACCATTTAAAATATTAAAGGCTTGTTGACAGCTTGTAGTTGTGAAATATTGAAGCATGAAGTCAGAAACCGAAAGCATTCATTGTCTTGTGCATACTTGGCCAATGTCCATTAAGCCAAATTGGTTTCTAATAATTCTGCCTTATTTCCTTTTAACGACAAAGTTTCACCTTTCACCATGAGTCATCGTTTACAGTGTACAAGTCTTCAGCAGATGTTTTGAACTGTTGATTGTGTTGCCGCTCGCTCATCCAGTTTTGTGCGTCTTTCAGATCGTCATCCTGGTGGTGGACAGCACCGACCGGGAACGTCTCACCCTCACCAAAGAAGAACTGCATCGGATGCTCGCACACGAGGTACAAATCCCACTGTGTTAATTCCAGAGTTATCACCCTCATTCACTCACTCTTTACATTAGGCCTTCGTAGATTATCTGTTAAAGTTAAAGGACTCTATTTAGAATTTCAACTCGATCAAAATATCCTTAAAGTACCAACAGGAAAGAGTCATTGTGCAGAATAGCAGAATAAAGTTACTGGATTGTAATTATTGATGCGTTAATGTGTTCATCACTTTAATGTTGTTGCTGATAATGATCATTTTAATTATCACAGATTAAAAAATGTAATCGTATCTTAACCAATAATAATACATAATAATTTATTTGTTGATCGCATTTTGTATTCTTCTAAATCCCGAAAGATGTTAAAAATGCAGTGTAATAAAGAGAAAAGTCAAACATTCAACAAGGTGATGTACATAATTCAGTACAGAACTTGTTGCAGCAGGATCAGCTTTTGTGAATTGAAATAAAATCCCTTTGTTAATCGGCGAATCTGCCCATGCATGTTATGACGCCTGAGATACACTCCTGCTTTCAGAGTGACTAATTCGTCCTTACACGTAACAAACCCTCGAAAAAACACCGAGGAGGAAGCTGCATGTCTGACTGTGTGAGTCAGCGTGTTGACATGCGCCTAAATAACCCGCTGAGGCTGCTGTTCTCTGTTCTCAAAAGTTGACGCGGAGTTTCCGCACTTCCGCTCTTTGACGATCAGTACCATCAGTAACATTAGTAGCATTAGTAACATCAGTAACATCAGTAACATTAGTTAAACTAGTAACATCAGTAAGATTAGTTACATTAGTAACATCAGTAACATCAGTAACATTAGTTACATTAGTAACATCAGTAACATCAGTTACATTATTAACATCAGTAACATCAGTAACATTAGTAACATTAGTAACATCAGTAACATTAGTAACATCAGTAACATCAGTAACATCAGTAACATCAGTAACATTAGTAACATCAGTAACATCAGTAACATCAGTAACATTAGTAACATTAGTAACATCAGTAACATTAGTAACATCAGTAACATCAGTAACATTAGTAACATTAGTAACATCAGTAACATTAGTAACATCAGTAACATCAGTAACATTAGTAACATCAGTAACATCAGTAAAATTAGTAACATCAGTGACATCAGTAACATTAGTAACATCAGTAACATCAGCAACATTAGTAACATCAGTGACATCAGTAACATTAGTAACATTAGTAACATCAGTAACCTGTCTTCCCCTGTTTTAGGATCTGCAGAACGCAGCCGTTCTTATTCTGGCCAACAAGCAGGACGTGAAGGGCTCGATGACGGCGACGGAGATCTCCCAGTGCCTCACGCTGGACTCCATCTCCTCACATTCCTGGCACGTCCAAGCCTGCTGCGCCCTGACGGGAGAGGGGTGAGTCCTTACGCCCGGCGTGTGTGTGTCTGTGTGTGTGTGTGTGTGTGTGTGTGTGTGTGTGTGTGTGTGTGTGTGTGTGTGTGTGTGACTCAACCCAAAGAAAAGCCTAGTTGAACAACACCGACTCACGCCTCCGCTTTGTTCTCCCCAGTCTACCTGCCAGTCTGGACTGGATGACGTCTCGGGTCCGCGCAAAGTAGAAATGCGCCCGGACGCAGTGCACCAAACTTCCTCGCGCCGAGCCGACCGCTAAAGCTGGCGCCGAGGCCGCGGGCTCAGGATTGTTTACAGTGAGATGAGGGGGGGAAAAGGCCTGTCAGCGTGGCGTCATGTGATGGATCCGGCCTCGCTGCACCTGCCGGTTGTCTCGCCCGGCTGTGCGACGCCTCAGGGAAATCGGGCCGTAACCCGCTGGGTAGCATTTGAATCAGACTGCAGAAGTTCTTCCTCAGTTTGTGTTTATGTTACAGGACCAATGGTCTCGCTCTGTGGTGTCGATTCTTTATTTTCATTGAGGTTTAACATCCCAATTCACTGAACCGCAAAGTAGCACAAAAGTATTAATCATTATTCAATGCTAAGAGCCTACATTTGATAATTGAGAACGCTTAAACATACATATTTCCCGGGTAAAGTGCCAGCGTGGTGCCTGTTTTTGAGCATCAGGATTTTATTTTGTCCTTCGATTGGTGATTCTTGGTGCCCTTCTTAATTAACCCAAACCACCTCTGCTACAACCAAATTGATATACCTTCCTTATAAAACAGCTTCCCAGTGCCAAACTGAGTTTAGATGCTTTACAAGCTTAAGCCTCTATCATGGAAGACTTTTACTTCATTAATAACTGAGAGCTATTCAATGTTGAGGAACAAGGCTGCACCGCTCATGCAAAGGACCCTTATAAGTATGTTATGCCAGTGAACAACATAATTATTTTGTCAGACCTACTTTGTTTAGTAATTTATTTTAAGAAAACAAAGCTGTTGAACAATTTACTGTATATTACAGAAATGTAGTGAAAAGAGCTAGCTGCTGTGGACTGGAGAATATTTTGAAAGTATATATTATGTCGTGTAATTTAATAACAAATAAACAGTATTATTCCAAATATGAAGTTGGTCTGTTGTCAATGGTGTCAAGATGAAATATTTAATTATATTTATCTAGCTAAAAAGGTTATTTTATAGCAGGAATTGATCTGAATCCGTGTCTCTACAAAGGTCTATTTCCGTCTCCGGGAGGCAGATTTCAATGAAAAGGAAAGATAAAAACAAGGGGGCATCCGGATTTGAACCGGGGACCTCTTGATCTGCAGTCAAATGCTCTACCACTGAGCTATACCCCCACGTCCAATACGACCAGTGTGTACGTTCTTAATCCAAACTCACAACAGCGAGCCTGCGGGACTGAATGTGTCTATTTCCTTGAACGCTTTTACATTTTGTCGAGTGTTGACGACACGTTGACGACTTGTGTTTTCAGAGGCACGACGTTATTGTGTCCGCTAGGTGGAGAGAGAGGGGCGTGCTTTTGTTTTCCTACGTACCCAACTATTTGCAGAAAAAGGGTTTAAAAGAAAAGGAAAATTGGTCTTCTGTATTTAACACACAATATTCGAAATACTAAGCATTCAGTCATCCATGTCAATTATTGGAAGCACGTCTTCTTTTGTTGATATTAATAGATTGTTTACAACTGTACAATTGTGTTATGACTAGAATTATCTTTGCTGTGGTTTGGACAAAAAAAATCATGTTGTAGAATAAACTCGGTTTTGTATTTGTTTATTTAGGGTTAAGAGCAAGCGGAATGTAATATTAACTGGTTAGCCTATAACCAGACTTTTTCAGTACAATGTTGACGTAGCTTTAAACCAAGTAACGTTATACAAGTTTCCAATGCTATATACTTCCAAGTTACTCTCCTACATCTTACAGGTAAATATTTTACCTTTTTCTACACTAACTTCACGTTTCCACTGACATAATGGGGAATAAGAATGACGTTTATTGACTAAGCGGCGCAGGATGATGCACATGAGGAGGGGTGTGTTTGCAGCTTGACAGTGTGGCTGATTTAGTGCAATCGAAATTAAAACTAGTTTAGTCATGATGCTCTTTTTTTCCCTGACTAATCTCCTTTCCTTTTGCCAGATTTGGGCCTTTAGCATTTGTGTTTGTTTTACGTCAGCATGACCTCCAAAATAAAGAGGCGCCTGCCGCTGGCTTGTGTTTATGTTCTGCATTGTGATACACAGTGCTGATTGATTTTCCAGCTGTGAATCCAATAGACCATTGTTTCGCATGAATATAAATCAAAACACGTTTTCTTTTATAGAGTTTATATATTATGATTCAATTAATTCAAAACAAAGAATGAACAACCCTATTCGTGTTCTTTGTTCAGCGGGGGAGTTTGGGGGGGTTTCCAAAGGGGGCCCTGACAGAAAACGGTTTGGGAACCACTACAATAGACGCTCGGATGACATTTTCTGCAAGAAATTAAACTTTCCTTTCAACGCGGGCAACATGTTGTTGTTAGAGCAGAGACACAATGTTTTGAGGAGTCATAAACAGACTCAACGTGAAATGAGTAATATCTTGCACGAGCAGGGATTTTAGCCCGGCTGTTATTGTTTGCATCATGATCCCCAAATCCAATCCCAGATGTCAGTTCACTGCCGCAACCGGTTGGGACAGAGGGAGGCGCCACTGACGCCGACAGTCATACTCCGGCTGACAGTGCGCTGTTTGAGACACAACCAGAGTAATACTTTGTATATGGTTTTCACTGATGGTGAAATGAAAATAAGGAGTAACTCAACGTGTAACATTTCCCCTTTCCGCGCCACAGCCGACACAGCTGACTATTGTGTCTTTGTAATCACCGTGACAACAGATGCACAGCGTCGAAGAGGAGAGAGAGGGTTTGGTTAGAAACAGGCGTGGTGTGTGAGTGGGGGGGAGAAAAAGAGAGAGAGAGATTCACAGGGAGGATGAGACTTGTTTTTGCAAAGAAGGGAAGAAGAAGCGGGGAGCTGAGACAAACGCTTTCTATTTAAGTTTTGGGTCTTCTTCTTGCAATCATGTGTTTGAGTTTGGTGATACTTTTTCTCTGTGTCTGCAAAACAGAGCTGGCAAGAGTTTGGATTCAACATCAAACAGGTGAGCTGTGTGTTTATTTTCATTACTGCTTTAACATCTGAGGTTCCCCCCGTAGCTTTACAGTTAAATTCTGCATGCTTAGTTTTACTAAAATTACAGTTCATCTTACAAATCTATTTATTTTCATAATAATATGCTGCTGCTATTTCATCTCACTTCAGTAGATGTCGTTTTACAGCGGGCCATCGGCATGCCGTGTCCTTTTTTATTGTACTAACAAAAGTAAATTACCTAGTTTACGATGAAGTGTACAATAAAAATACCCTTTATTCCACAAGCATGCAACGGAGTTAACAACAATAACCCACAAACAGCCTGTCTCGGGTTTAAAATTAGACTGTTTTTGCTGCACGCATGCCTCACTGCCGGTGAGAATCAGCCGTTGGCGGACGGACATGCACATTATTTGTCACAGGCACATTAAAGGGTGTGTTTGTTTGGGACGTTCACATTCATTTATTTCTAACCAATTTCTAGGGATGTGACAGGTCACCCTTTACAAATCCTCTCCTGCCATGTCCTCATATGTAGTTCATCCTGAACCCCTCGTGTTCTTCTGCAGAGAGAAATGTGTTTCAGTGTGTTTTGTGCAGGAGACGGCCACATGCATGCTTGCAAAATAAAGGGTCAGCTGTCAGTATTAAAGTAACATATTCTGCATCCCTTTGCCTAATTTGCTCTTATCTGCCTTTTCCCTCCACGTGGCCTCCTGCTCAGTGAGAGAAAAGAAGTATTTTTGTCCTCAGGGAGCCATCTACAGCATCACAACCAGGCTGTAAAAACACAGATCCCCAAGCAGAAAATGAACTGTGTTAACGTCAGTGACCTCAGATTTTGGCCTCCTGTCTTTGCTTAACAAATAGTCTGTTTTGTTTTAGGAAAAGTTAAGTGGCAAGAACAATATTAGTTAGCTGGCCACAGCTCAGCAACTTGCTCTCTGGATCATGTTGTTCCTTGGAACAGCGTTTGTGTCCTGTTCTCTTATTTGTATTAGCGGACTAAAGATAAAGATAAGGTTTCTGTCATTTCCATGACAAGGTTACGTTTCGCCAGAAGAAAAATGAAGCATTCAGCGCACTCCCGTTCTCTTAGCAAAACTTGACCACAACTGGAATGTCTTTGTAATTTTATTGTGAAATGTGATTTCTGTTCAGCCTCTCGGGGATGTCACAGATTAAATTAGCAAGGAGGCTTCTCTAAAGTTCGAGTGTTCAGCAACTCATTCACTATGCTTAATACATTTTAAGAGATTATCAGCTTCACAACTGATTATGGTGCCGAGGCCCATGCGCATTTTTCTTTTCAAATATAAAGCACTCTTCAAAACTCCAAGACCAAAGTGGCTCTATTATGTGGATGAAATGCATCCACTGGAATGGGACTAAAGAAGTGCATATCTGCAATTCAGCCACAGGCCTTGAAATGAATGCATGTCTATTGTGGGTGAAGCTGAGGAGTCTGTGCCAACTCACCCAGCCACTGGTCAGGAAGGGTGTGTCCTCTCGGAGCGCCCTGAGGTGACCGCTCACAGAAAAAGGCAGCTAAACGTTGCGGTTTGGTAGCAGAGGTCAGCTTTCCGTCCAAAACATCTGCTCTTTCAATGCCCCACCTTTGACAAAAAGCAGATTGTGCCCTTCCGGAGTGCTTCAGCGCTGCTTTCATTTACTTTACTTTACTGAACCCCGACACAAACTAAACTGTGGACACCTCATTAATGTTCTTGACCGGAGGCAACTTTAACCAGTAATGGCTCTCACACCTTCTGACTCACCGACTCCATCTCAATACTGGCATGAGTGAGGCAGGGTTTGACTGCTGCTGTGCTCCTAAAGACAAGATGTGCAAAATGAATCCAGGTGATTCACCGGTTATCATGTTGCAACCCCTTATGCGTTTTTATTAGGGAATAGATGAATGTGGGAACAAAAATAATTTCTCTCTATTTATACATGTGTGTTATCATAATGGAAAGCGCATTGTGTCAAAGACTCTAATTCAAAAGATTAGAAATGTCCCATTCTCACAAAAATAACATTGGAACATTGGTTTTGTTTATGCTCAGAAGTATTTCTAACGTGAAAACCAGTCAATTTTTTATTTTAACCTCCTGTCAAATATGACGTTGAAAAGGTGGGTTTCCAAGCTCGTATGTAGTATAGATTTGTTACACTCACTGTAGAATTGATCACGAATTACAATGAGATATATAAGCAGAACTCAAGAGTTGGAAATGAATGAGCGTGGAGACTTTTTATCAGTTTCCCCTGGACAGAGAAACAGCACGACTCCCATTTCGCTATTTGAATTACGACCCGATTAGACGCCTCGGTGTGCACCGCTCCCTGCTTTCATAAGATCAGTTTATCTGCTGCACTCCATCAACGACTGCGCTCACACCATTTCTCCCCTTACCTCATAGAGGCCTCCAGCGCTCACACATCTAGGTTAATTATACAACCTGTCGCAAATGCATTGACACACCACTTAACTGAATAACAAGAGGAGAGAGAAACACTCGTGAAGAAAAACAAAAAGTTCCCTGGCTGTGAGGTCAAAACATTTGGGTTGCAGTCATAAGCAACTTCTTGAGTGATGCATCGTTTTTGACAGCTTTGGGAGAACGTCATGATTGTGTGAGTGCAGAGTTGTGTTTAAATAAGGCATCTCCATCCAATGTCACGATGTCTGAATTGTGGGGGTTTGGAACAGGACTCGACTGAGCTAACACTTTACCAGCACCAGCACAAGAAGTTGTTTAGCAGCTTAATGTTTGGTCACAGCTGAGCAGAGGCTTCCTACTTTAAATTTTTCTGGTTTAACAAAAGGATGAAGTTTAAGAATGTTCATTTTCCTAAAAAAGAGGAATTTAAAGCAGCAGAAAATTCAAACGGCTGCTGGTCCAACACCTAAAAAACACCAGGTGTGTGTGTAGAAAAAACAGACACA